TGACAGCTCAGCACACATAGCCCTTGAGGGGCCTGTCAGCCCTATCAGAGATGCCAATGGTGGACTCTGCTTGGCAAAGGTGCCAGCCCAGGACACGGAAGCAGAGAACAGGGGCATGGAGGAGAGGAAGGCGTTTCTCACTGGGAGACAGAGCCTGGGCCGGGCCGCCCACAATGTCCCACCAAGCCAAGGGGGCTCAGGCAAGAGAAAGGGCCCAGACGGGGTGTAGGCTGGGCACCTGTGTGTCCACATCCTGCCCTGCCACCCCTCCGAGGACTCTAGGGTTCTCTGAGAAGTTGCCAGCCTCCAATGTTTAACTCTCGCTCTCCTCTTTCATGGGGAAAGTGTAGATCAGACTAATTAATGTGTTGTTGTTTGTTTACCCTCCTTTCATTTCTCTGAGACAAAATAATTAACCACAGAGCTTTAGAAACGGGCTCCATTGGTGGCAATCCCTTCTGTGTCAACTGCGTCAGCAGCTTCTGTGCGTAGATGCAGGGACTGCACGCAGGAGCAGGTCAGGTGGGCAGCACCCGGAGGCTCCTGTCCAGGGCCGTACAGGAGGGGAGGCAGGAGAGGTCTCTGGACAAGGGGACCCCGGATAGCCATGAAGGGCTAAGACGGCAGGCAGGAAGGGCTGGGACGCTTGGGTCTGCCACATTCTAGAGGACTGCCCTGGTGGCCACCACTGCCTATTGGCCCCCTGGGCTAACAGCCACCTCAAACCCGTCGATGCCTGAATGAGGACCAAAAGCATTCCTGTGACCAGACCAGTGGAGGCAGAAAGATCAGGCCTGGCCACTTACTGCCACTGCAGGCAGGGCTGGGGAGTGAACTTGCCCAGAAGGGTTTCTGGGGCCACAGCAGGAGTGAGGACACAGGGCAGCTGAAGAGGGAGCCCTACCCACCCCTAGTAGCCCTGTCTCAGCTAATAGCAGATCCCAACCCTGATCGGCCAGTGGTGGGGACGAGCCACATAAGAGGACAGAAGGTTTGGGAATTTCTCTCAGGAAGCCTCTTATGAAGTCAAACACATTCACCTCTGACCCATATGGACAGACATCCGGTGGAATACAGGCCAGTTCAGCTTAGAGGGCAGCATGACATGAATAGAACAGATCCGCTCCTCCCAAATCCTTTCCCCATAACTGCCTTCACAGCCAGGGCCTGGCCAAGCCTGACTCCTGACTCAGTGTGACAGTGTTCCTCGGGGGTGGACAACCTCAGCTGCTCCCGCTTCCCAACCTCTCACCCTTGAGGCTGCAGCAGGGTCCGTTCATTCCTCAATCAGGCATTTCTTCATTTGTTCTTTCCCTCCACAAACACTCAGGGCCATGCCCTGGACTCAGCCACGCAACAGACACGGATCCTGATAGAGTTCCCAGCTCATTTGTGGGACCCAGATATTAGCCAGATCCAGTTCCTGGCAGGATGACAGCACAATATGGAGAGGATTTGCAACATCACAGGCAGCCCTGAGTGGGTCAAGGAACACTACCCCTTAGGAGGTGGCATCTCAGCTGGGCCCTGAAGGGGAAGGAGGAGCTGACAGACAAGGCAGGAGAGAAGTTTCAGACAGAGAGCCTGGCAGGTGCAAAGGCCTGGAGGTCAGACAGCAGTGCGCGGCTGAGGTGCTAGAGGAGCTGGGAGCAGGGGCTGGGCGAAGAAAGAGGATGGTGGAGGCAAGAGCACAAAGGGCCCCTAGATGGAGATAGGGAGACTGGACTTTGTCCCCCAAGACAATGGGACCACCAAAGGAAGAATACAATCAGATTGTTTAGGAAGCTCCTGACCACCGTGCAGACTGTGGGTTTGGGGCCTGTGGCTTGAGACTGAGGACAGGCGGACAGTGATGGGGTAGGGCTGGTGCTTAGGCAAAGATGGTGCTGGCTGGGCTGGTGACCTTGGGCCACAGAGATGAGGAGGAAAGGGCCAAGGGAGACTTGGAAAGGGGGCTGCCCTGTGATGTTGGGACCCCCTACCCTTCGCACCTTGGTGCCAACCAGGGGCTGCTGGCAGCTGGGGAGGCTTGGGAGCCCCCATCTCACCCTCCCTCCCCACAGGGACAGGACCTGCAGGCTCTTCCTCTGGACCCAGTTGGTCCAGGCAGTTCTGTGTCCTCTTCTGTAGCTCTCACTCCGGCCAGTCTGAAGCCAGCGGCTCCACACAATGACGTGTGCCTGTACATGTACACACTGTGTGCCAAAAGCAGCCAAACCCATCAGCCTGTGTGGGAGCAAGAGGGCTGTCACCCCAACTCCAGGTTAAATTCAAATGAAAGTGCTGGAATTTTAAAGAAACAACAAATGAGTATGTCAGATGGCAGGCATGGGAGGACTCTGGACAGCCACCAGCCCCTCTGAGCACTGAGCCATGAGCACTGGGCCACAGAGGTGACAGAACAAGTACTCCAATTTCAGTTACTGTCATTATACAATTGGTCTCAGGACCCTAGCCCAGCAGCCCGGCCTGACTTCACAGGGCCCCTGAAGCAGCTGACCTCAGGGTCAAGGCCATTAGGGTTGGGACACCCCCCACCGAGGGCCTAGCCGTCAGAGACAGGACTTGGGCTGGGTGTGAGGGAGGTGGTGAAAGCCACTGGCTGCGTCTGGGGCTCCAGGGCAGGATGTCAGGGAGAAGGGGACACTGTGGACGGCCCTCTGGCCTCACCAACCACCATCCTTGCCAGCGAGGCTCATTGCTCACCCTGGAGTGAGGGGCCCTGCCCCAAGCAGGACTAGAGAGCCAGGCAAAGCCACACGGTCCTGCTGCTCTCAGGCAGAGGTCACGTTTCCCGGATTTAACCAAGGCCCAGCGCAGAGCTGTCTGCGAAGGAGCCATTTCCTACGGCTCCTGGTCAGGCTCCTGGTCCGAGGGCTGTGGTCTGAGTAGACACACCTGCTTCTCTGAACTATAACTTTCCAGTGTTTGCTTCAAAGCGATTTCCCCTGAAAAAAGTAAAATCTTTGTGAAAGGTGCATTCTCCAGAACCAGACACAGCCACCAGCTTAGGTTCATCTGCAGACTTTAAGCTCTGGTCCAGGGTGAGCACCCTGCCCATACCACATCAGCCCAGAGATGGTGGCCGCGGAAGTGCGCTTGGGTGACTGACATGCATCATGGAAACTACCCCTCACACCATGGGCCTGGAGGCAGCACAGATCGACCTCCATTCACGCACCCACTCCCTGAGCTCCTGCTGGTGCAGCCCGGGACCCACAGCACCCTCACCGCAGCCCCTTCTTTCAAGAAGCTCTTGGTCTGCTGGGGAGGTCGTCGTGTCCCATGAGAATTTATGATCTAGAACTGCAGAGACCAGGCCATGCACAAGGGGAATGGGAGCCCCCACCGGAGAGTCTTAGCCACCCGGCAAGGGGAGGCAAAACAGCCTCTCTGAGGAGGTGATTTCTAAGCTAAGTCTTAGAAGAGAAGGGGTAAGCTAGACGAGGGGCAGACGTGGGAAACAGCAGGGCATGGACAGGAATCCACAGCCTGGGGAGTGGGAAGTGAGCACAAAAGGAGATGTGGCTGCAGGTACTGGCAGGCCCCGCTAGGAGACGGGCCTCCCAATAAGGACCAAGCGAGGCTTCAGCCGGGTTGAGGCATCTGTGACACTGATTAGACAGAGACTGTCTAGCCATCGTGTGGAGGATGGTCTGATGGAGAGGAGACCAACAAAGTGAGTGAGTGCAGGGGCTCCAGGGGGCTTGCATGGGTAGAAGACAATGGGAAGTGGGAACTGAAGGAGAGCAGAGCCCAGATGACACTCAGGTCCTGGCTGAGATGACCAGGGAGGCAGGAGGAAGAGAGGGTGTGGGCCCAGGATGGATGGCAATGTAGACACAGACCCCTCGTGGTGCCAGGGCAGGAGCAGGGCTGCATCTGTGAGACAGCAGGAAATGAATCCGCCAGCTGATCTGGTAATGAAAACTCTGGGTTATGCTTACACAAGCTTCACCACAGAATGATCATCTGCGGGTCCCTGGAGGCAGGGTAAACACTCCACACTCTTGTCTTTCATTGATTCTACATTCAGCGCAAGAAGTGCACCTGTGTCCTCTCCTAGGCGGGGCCCTGGCGCCTGCTCTGAGACCCACTGTGGCTCCCAGACGGGCTGGGACAAGGACCTGGAGTGGACTCATTCTGGCAGCTGTGGGCCTCGGCTGGGCTCTAGGGCTTCACCTCAGGGGCTTAGGGGAGAAGATTGGGCCAAACCCTCAAAGCCCCAGGGAGCTTCTCCAAAAGTCTCAGGGATCATCAGAGTCCCTGTAACTGGGTACCCTTGATCATTCTGGAAGTTGGTAAGGCCCAGGCTGTGCCTGGATCCTCATCAGACAGGGATTTCTGCCCCAGGGATGGGAGTAGGGGGTCGCTGAGGGTGGGACCTCAGAGGTGGTCTGATGCTGCAGGCTGGGGCACAGCAAGAGCCTCGTTGTTGGAGGGCCTTCCTCTCAGGGGTCCTGCCAGCCACACTGCCACCCACCCCAGGCCTCTCTGGCCCATTTTCTTTGCAGTTTGTTCCCTCTCCATTCTGACCTCGCGGGCACTTGGTGACAGGTGGCTACGTTTGCAGCTCCTCTGACTCAGGCTCACCCCTCGCCTGTTCTAAACCCGCCTCTGGCTTCTGATGGGCTTCTGGCTGCTCCAGGCCAGTGTCAGGCCCAGGCATCCTCTAGGATCCCCAGCCTCCCTGCTGAGGCCCCACAAAGCTGTGCTCCTCTGAAATTCTGGGCCGGTTTTCAAGCAATTAGGTTACAAGTTCAAGATGGTCAGCTAGAGGCAGTCATGTCACCAAGCTATTCACTCCAAGAGAACCAAACACACACAGGCAAACAGGGTGTGCTGGCACCCCTTTGTGAGCCTGCTGGCTCCAGCGTGGTCCTTGGAACAGTCCTGCTTATGTTGGAGGAAGTAGGAACAGAGTGAGTGGGAACAATAGCCCCAGAATTCGACGTGCTCCTCTTAAAGATGAATGAAGCCCCTCCCCTTCTGTCTTGCAGGTTCTGCAGCAGGCCTGGGTGGCCCAGCATGGCCCACTGAGGTGAACCATGACTGGCTGGCTAACACTCACCACTGACCATCCAGAGTCACACCTCACCAGAAGGTGACCCCTCCTCCAGCTGTCCCCTCACTCGCCCACCCCACCCAGGAAAGTGCCCGCGCTGCCACGGACACCATGTAGTAGGGCCGGCCACGGCACCCAGTGAGCTGCAATGGTTTTGTACACAACCCCCTTTCCTAATAGCTGTCTGTCCGCCCTGCACGCCGTGTCCTGGGCCCTCATCTTCCCATGCTACTGGCTGGTGGACCGGCTTCTGGCCCCTTTCATACCCACCACCTACGAGACGCGCCAGCGGGCGGACGACTGGTGCTGCCTCCAGCTGCTCTGCTCCTATCTCTTCACACCTGTCTACCTGGCCCTCCTGGTCGCCTCACTGCCCTTTGCATTTCTTGGGTTCCTCTTCTGGTCCCCTCTGCAATCTGCCCGCCGGCCCTACGTCTATTCCCGGCTGGAGGACAAGGGTCCAGCTGGTGGGGCAGCCCTGCTCAGTGAATGGAAGGGGACAGGTCCTGGCAAAAGCTTCTGCTTCACCACAGCCAACCTCTGCCTTCTTCCCGAATCGCTGGCAAGGCTCAACAATGTTTTTAACACCCAAGCACGGGCCAAAGAGATTGGGCAGAGAATCCGCAACGGGGCCAGTCGGCCCCAGATCAAAATCTACATTGATTCCCCCACCAACACCTCCATCAGCGCGGCCAGCTTCAGCAGCCTGGTGTCACCACAGGGCAGTGATGGCGTGGCCCGGGCCGTCCCTGGAAGCATTAAGAGGACGGCCTCTGTGGAATACAAGGGTGACAGCGGGCGTCACCCCAGTGATGAGGCTGCCAACGGCCCGGCCTCTGGGGAGCTGGCCGACAGCGGCAGCCTTGAGGATGCCTGCATCGTGCGCATCGGCGGTGGTGACGAGGGGGGCCGGCCTCCCGAAGCCGATGACCCTGCTACTGGGGGCCAGGCCAGGAATGGGGCCGGCGGGGGCTCACGGGGCCAGACACCCAACCACAGTCAGCGGGATGGGGACTCGGGGAGCCTGGGCAGCCACTCAGCTTCCAGGGAGTCCCTGGTGAAGGCGCGAGCCGGGGCGGACAGCGGCAGCGGGGAGCCAGGTGCCACCAACAGCAAGCTCCCGTACAAGGCCTCGGTGGTGAAGAAGGCGGCCGCGCGCAAGAGACGGCACCCAGACGAGGCCTTTGACCACGAGGTCTCGGCCTTCTTCCCCGCCAACCTGGACTTCCTGTGCCTGCAGGAGGTGTTTGACAAGCGGGCGGCCGCCAAGTTGAAAGACCAGCTGCACGGCTACTTCGAGTACATCCTGTACGACGTCGGGGTCTACGGCTGCCAAGGCTGCTGCAGCTTCAAGTTTCTCAACAGCGGCCTCTTCTTTGCCAGCCGCTACCCCATCATGGATGTGGCCTATCACTGTTACCCCAATGGGCGGTGCTCCGACAGCCTGGCCTCCAAGGGAGCTCTGTTTCTCAAGGTAGGAGGCCTCACCCCACCTGAGGGCACACGCCAACTGGTCCCAGAGCCACGGCGGGAGGTGGGCCGCAGGCGGGGTCCTCATTCTCTTGGAGGGCTGGAGGCAGACAAGGTCTTTCATGGAGCTGAACTGGGGGGCCATCAGCTCAGGGACAAGGGAAACAGAATGCAGGGACAAGAGCCAAGGGTCTGGGCTCAGACAGACCTGGCTGGGTTATCTTGGGCAAGTTCTTCAGATCTCTGAGCCACCATTTCCTCACCTGTAAAGCAGGGGCAACTACAGCCTGCTCACAGGGTGGGCAGTGGAGCTGGACTGGTGAGGCTGGGAGGTTCTCCTGGTGCTGGCAGTGCAGGTGATGATGGCATGGCAATGGTAAGCGGGGAGTAGGAGGAGGCAGGGAGCCCCCTCTCTGGAAAGGAGCAGAGGTTCACACGAGGGGAGACCCGCGCAGACCACTGGGTGCAGCGGGCAGGCAGGGCTCTGAGGTCCCAGGCCCATTACCATGCCTGCTTGCTTAGGCCTCCAGCCTTACTGGCCGGAACATCCTCTCCCTCCTGGCTGTCAGGCATCTGCCATGCCAGGCACTCTGCCCACCAGCCCGAGGCTTCGCTTCCATAGTCACTAATTAAAGTGAATCATAATTATTTCTGCTAATTTGGATGCAATTGGAGGAGTTTTTAGACCATGGTAATTTGGTCATTACACATTATCTTCTGCTGAGCCTGACATGCTCAGAGTGTTGACTTTTTGTTCCCTATCCAAAAGCCGCTCTTGGTGTTTCCAGAATTTTCTGAAGCATCATTTGGCCAGCTGATACAGAACAGGGTTTTCTGCCCCCAGAGGCAGCAGCTGCTGTGGGTGTGGGTTCTCTCCATAATTTCCCCAAGACTTCTCGGTTCCCCCTGGAAGGGGGTCCAGGTGTAGGGGGGCAGGGGGCAAGGGTGCCTAGTGTGGTTAGTGCGGAAGCCCCAGCGTGGCGAGGCTCTCGGCTCTGACCGTGCTCAGTCTGTCCAGGAAAGTGCTGCCTGTCAGCCAAGTACCTGCTGGGAGTGAAGGTCCAGGCTGACTGTCTGCATGGAGCCTACTGGAGCCAGGGCAGCACCCCGGGCCTGGGCCCCTACTTCAGGTGCTCAGTGGCTCTTGTGTGGCTCAGCGGGCCCAGAGTTGGAGTCCCTAGCTCTCCATTCACAGCCTGAAATGGTGAAATTGACTGCACTCCTCTTACGGGAGAGCCAGCTTCCCCATTTTGGCATATGGTTCATCAACGTTCTGTTCCACAGATATATTTTTGTCTGAGCAGCCAGAGTGACTTTCTGGGGAAGGAGGGGACATGTTTTCAGGCTTGTGGGGCGGGGTTCACCTTCTCCCTCCTGCCCCCCTTCTACAGATGGTTCAAGGCCAGGGACCCCCTCAACCCCTCCCCCAGTCCACACACCCCCCTCCTCGTCTCCCTCCTTGATCTGGCAGCCCAACTACCATGCCCACCAGGGTCACAACAGTCTTCCTGAGACAGCCCCTCTGCTGAAGGCTTTCTTCCCACCTCTTTGGTTGTTCCTTCTGGGCTCTTTGTCACCTGCCCATCCTTTAAATGCTGATGCTCCCTCTAACTCCTGGGTCTAAAACAGGTCTGCTGATATATTTAATTTGGTCCACACCATTAAGAAATTTCTTGTGTTGGCCAACATTTAAAAATCAAGATATTTCGCATAAAACCCGGTTTGCCACTTCTCTCCCCATCTCAGCAGATGGGGCAGCAATCAGGCCTGCTGCATTCTGCCCAGCTCTCAGCCCAAGCTGAGGGTTGGCGGCCCCACAGCAACGTGACCCGCTTGGCCAGCCTTCTTCATTTCCAAGTGCCTGGCCCCACACGCCTGCCCCGGGGAAGGGACTCCACAGCCTCCATTTCCACACTTGCTGAGGACTCTGAGGTTTGTCCCACGCCAGATCTCTCCCCTAAGCCCCCAGCTCTTTGTCTGGCTGCTTCCTGGACACAGTCCCGTTCACTCCCGAACTGAATTCATCATCTGCCCTGGACCCCACCTCCTCCAGGTTCCACCGTCCCTCAGCCAGAAGGGCCCACCTTGAATCCTCTCTGTGCCCTGAGCCCATCCAATCCATCCAGGCTCCTAATTCACTTTCCAGATGCCTCTGGGTCTATCTACCCCATGTCTCCAGCTGCACCATCATGGCCCAGGCCATCACTCCTCCGCATCTACCCACCTGTATTTTGGTTGGCCTTCCCCTTCCAACTCATCCTCCCCGCGTCCCAGGTCTGACTCCTGTTTCTCCCTTCCTTCCAGCCTTCACCTGAGCCCCTCCACCCTCACCTGCACTCAGCTTCAGTCACACCACACCCCCAAGGGGCCTCCATGTGCACAGCTCCCCGTCTTGGTCCCAACCTGGGTTGGCTGCACCACCTTTGTGGAGCTTTCCTTGACAACCATCCAGCACAAACCAGCTTTCCCTTCATAGATTCCTCAGCCCTTGTCCCAGGTGTCCCATTGCCCATCTCTCCTGTCAGAACTCCTCAAGAGCAGAGTCGGTTGTGTCCGGCACCATAGCAAACCCAGCTCGTCTCTGCTGGCCGGAGTGTGTCTGATTCTCCTATGTGGAGGAGTAAAATAAATGAGGTTTCAGGAGACAGGCCAGCCCAGGAAGGGGCCCGAGCCCTGGAAAGATGCTGCCCGTGGCTGTGCATGGAAGCCAGTGCTCCCTGCATCCTCAGGGCTCTCCCGTCCAGCCCTGCTCCCAATCTACTCTGTGGCACTTCCGATCCTTGAGGAAAACGTGCTTTCCTGCTACTGTGATGCCCTGAAAGGAAGGGCCTGGAATCATTTTTGCCTCACATATGAGAGCACCTGATTCTGGCCCCTTCTCTATTGACAGTCTTTGCCCACCAGGACTAAAAGGCACAACCTCTCAGTGTGATTATTTGTTTTTGCAAGAGAAACACAAGCCTCTGCGGCTCCCGAGGACTCGAGCCAGGAATCAATAAGTCCCAGCACGTAATAAAGTGGATCCTGGCAAGCTCCCATGGCCGACTGAGAGCAGGAAGCAGGCTGAGGGGTTGAGGTACCGGTGAACGGTGGCCGGGGGGAGGGGGAGGCAGGGGCCTCACACCACGTGTCTTCCCTCTGGGCGGGTTCTCCTTAGCGCGGGGGCAGTGCTGCCTCTTTGCGCCTGTCTCCTGTCCCTGCCCAGGACTCAGCACGGGAGGCAACTCTAAGTGCTGAGTGAGTGAAGGGCTGACGCACTGAAACCGTCAAAGGGGCAGCCAGTGATAAGCCTGGCTAAGTCAGAGGAGCTCAGAAAACAGCAGAGAGGAGGGTGGGGAGCTGAGCGTGGGGCAGCAAACATCTGATTTGAACCAGCCTCGGCCATCGGAGCCTTGTGACCCCGGCCAGTTGTGGTATAATTTGAGTATATGGTTGTCGTAAGGCTCGAGCAAGGCAGCGTCCGTGAAGCAGGAGGCAGGAGAGCTCATATTACTGAGGAGGGAACAGACTCTGCCTAAGGAATGCAGGGGCGAGAGCGCCATCATGTGGCCTTTGGGGGCATTGTGGTTTTAAAACTGTGTTGTGTTTTTGCAACAGGGTATTGACGGTATGTAATTTCCTGAGCCATTCCAGGGGTGGGGGTACTAGTGGGCCAAGGTTTGGGTCTGGAATTGGGGCAAGAAGTGAATAGTGAACATGTGAGTTTGTAAACAGCCCCAAATCCAGGCCATATAGCTCATTATCAAGTAGCCAGCCATTCATCCCCCTGGGCGCTGGGAACATGTGCATCCATCCCGGCTGGGAAAGGGGAGGGAGAGCCATAGAAAGCTAGGGTGCTGATGCTGTGAAAGTCCCTGTGGAGGAGAAAAATGCCGACCTGACGTCAGTAGCAAAAAGAAAGACAGACGCCTCCCAAGACTCTCAGAGTGGAGGGCCCGTGATGCGGCAGCAGGGAGCCCAGGCTGCTCTTAGCTGGGGGATGGGCAGGGTCTGCTCAGCAGGTGCCGGGTGCACCCACCGTGCTGCTGCAGGCCCCTCAGCCAAGAACCGGCCTCTACAGTCAGCTTCCCTGGAAAGTTCCCCAGGGCCATCTCGTCATCACAGAAAACCCAGTCTGCTGTGAGTTAGTGAAGTTTGGGGAAGACGGCTGAGGCTCAGGTGGGAGGAGCGCCCACAGAGGAAGAAGATGAGGAGCCAACCAGAAGTCCCTGGGGAAAGACACCCACGGATGGTCGTGGGGAGCATGCCTGGGAGGGACTCTCCCATCTCAGCCACCAGCACCTGGGCCGTGGCCAGAGGGCCTGAGAGAGCTGGCAGCCTGGGTGGCCATCCCTACACCCCCAACCACAGCGCTGACAACGGCTCAGGCTTGCATCAGGGTCACCTCTGGGGGCCGTATCAAGTTGCCTGTGATGCATGATTGAGATGCCCATTTCACTATGCCAACCTGTGGAGACAGCCTGCCAGGGTCATCTGTGGTTGGGCAGGGAGTTGGGGAGGAGCCCCCTGCCCCACTCCATCCCCGGGGACTCTGTCTGCAGTGAAGGAGGTGAGCAGGGAGGTGAGGACCAAGGACTGGGGAAGAGTGGAGCATGAAGGTATGAGGAGGCCACTGTGGAGGAAGGAGGACTGGGTTTGGATGGAGGCCGTGAGGCACCTGGGGCCAGCCCATGACACAGGTGCCATGGAGACACAGGCCACAGCGGTCATCCCAGATCGGGGAACTAACGAGGACAACAGCCAAAAAGCAGATGAAGTGATTTCTCATGAAGCCAGAGGGCAGAGACGGGGGAGAGAGAGCAGAGGGGAGGGTCCGAGGCCTCTCACAGTGGAGGGAGGGTGGCCAGCATCCAGCATCTAAGTGGGCTGCCTCCCAGAGGGGAGCCCAGCTTCGACTTCAGAGCGACAGGCTCTAGGGCGTGATCTGGGTCTAGGGTATGACCAAGAGGAGGAGGAAAGAGCCACCAGACAGGCGTGGACAAGGAACTGAGGGGCTGGCACGTGAGGGTCATCCATGTGGACATTCTGGTCACCAGGAGACGGCAGGCGTTTGGGGAGGAAATCTTCGGGGATTTCAGCATTTTCCCTCCTCGAGAGCTTTGCGTGAATTGCTGCCGGCACTCACCATGCCACGGGCTGGTATTTCTTTAGGTATCTGCCTCCCATGCTGCACCAGAAGTTCCAAGAAGCAGGACATGTGCTGTTCCTCCCTGGGCCCGGGCCTAGCCAGGAGCCGACGAAGCTGGGCTTGTGAGGGTTCACAGGGAGGGTGGGGGGCTCGCCAGCATCCTTTGGTGCTCAGAGCAGTGATGGCTTGTAGGTTTCCGCACTGACACTGCACCTCCTCCCCCACAGGTGCAGGTGGGAAGCACACCTCAGGACCAAAGAATTGTCGGGTACATCTCCTGCACACACTTGCACGCCCTGCCAGGTAGGTCCCGTGGGCCGCACTTGTCGGGGGTGGGGCATCTGCCCCCAGAGGGCTGGGATCGGCGCTGGGGTCTGGCTGCATCTTCGTCATCTGGTCTCTGTGGTTCTGCCCCGAAGAGGACAGTGCCATCCGGTGTGAACAGCTGGACCTGCTTCAGGACTGGCTGGCTGATTTCCGAAAATCTACCTCCTCGTCCAGCGCAGCCAACCCCGAGGAGCTGGTGGCGTTTGACGTCATCTGTGGAGATTTTAACTTTGACAACTGCTCCTCCGGTGAGCCTGTGGTCCTGCCCATCCGGGTTGGCTACTGGGGAGGGCGTGGGCTCCAGTCACAGCTGGAAAGACTCAGTTTAGGCAGCTAGAAGAACTTCCTGCTCCTCGCGAACATGTAAGTGGGATAGTAGCAAGGCTATGATTTCTCTGACTCCTAGAAACACTAGAATGAGAAGAGCCCATGCTCTGCCTAGCAAGCTCAGAGGGCTCCTTGCTGGAGATAAAGAGATGCCCTCAAATTGAACTTCTGAAGGGAAGGCTTGGGGCCTCTGACACTCAGACTGAGGGCGAGTCAGCTAATATTACCCACCACATCTTTGTTCAGCTCTTACTTTCACCAGACACAATTCTAACCACTGTTCACGGGCCTACTGTTTCATTTAACAACACTAAGAGTGGGCACTGTATTTTACCCACATGGTGTGGAAGAGGAGGTTAAGACCCAGAGAGGTTGAGTAACTAGTCCCAAGTCACACAGCCAGGAAGTGGTTGAACTGGGATTTGAACCCTGGAAATCATGCCTTTAGGCTAAAAGACTAAAAGTTCATCATGGGTGAAATTTCAAATAATTAATTTAAATAAGTGAGCTGTGACTCAGATGATCATGCTGATCCTAGGACCTCCTGGGTGTTTGGGCAGCTCTGAACCTCCCTTGGCCTGAGGAGCTGGGTTCAAGGAAAACCTCCTGGTCTACTGGCTCCTTGGCTCCTTCTACTCTGGCCACAGCCCCAGGAGAAACTGAGGATGGGTGGGCAACATGGGGCTAATCCTCAGCGAAAGGAGAAAACCTCAAAGTGGCAGCTGGTGGCAGCTGTTTCTATCTGTTCGCGACCAGGGAGGCCTCCCTTGACAAGGGTGGCACCTCCAGGGTGGGTGGGGAGACCAGTGCTCACCGTGGAACACACAGTCCACCCCTGCAGCCCGGAGGTGCCCTCACAGTCACATGCCTGACGCCAGCTCCAAATGCTGGGTGTTCCCAGAATCTTCCTGAGTCAGGGTGGGGACCCAGCGCACACAGGAAGAGGCTGTCGGGAGGGGGTCCCATCCCATCAGGCTCCACTCCGTGCCCTGTCCTTCCTCCCAGGGATCTCACAAAGGCCCTTCTGGCTCCACGAGTTGGCAGGACAAACCCGAACCCAGAGCAGGTCATCTCCCTCTCTGAGCCTGGTGGGGTCACTCCTCACTCCGCCTGGGCACCCAGGTCTGTGAAGGGCAGGAGTCCCGGCCGGGGCAGCATCAACCAGCCAACCCCCCGCAGAGTGTGCCACAGCATCTGGGAAGGCCTTGAGATCACTGTTCCCTGGAGCCCAGGAGGGACAATGACCTCTGTCCTTAGACAGAAGGAAAGCTGAACACTAGAGTGGGGGTGTAGAGAGGGGGGTATTCTCAAGGACACAGAAAATCAATGACAAATGGACCACAGACCCCACCCAGGGGCAGTTACCTGAGGAACAGGGACGTGGTTGCATGTGGTCAGAGTAACCAGTGGCAGGTGGCCCTCCAGGACAGGCCAGACACCCCGAGACCACAACGTTCCCTCCCTCCCTCCCTTCCTGCAGACGACAAGCTGGAGCAGCAGCACTCCCTGTTTACACGCTACAAGGACCCCTGCCGCCTGGGGCCCGGGGAGGAGAAGCCGTGGGCCATCGGTGAGCTGGGGCTGGGGCTGGGGCTGGGGTGGGGGCGTGGATGTAGGGTGTCGGGGGACGAGAGGCCTGGGGCAGGGGAGAGGCACTGCTGAGGCCTGAGCACCCCGTGCTGAGACTTGATATTCCACCAAGGCTGGGCTCCCCACAGGCTTCCCAGAAAGACCTCCAGGACCTGCCCCAAGATCCCACTGCTGGGAGGTCATTCAGCTGCCCAGGCCAGCAGAGCCCTCGCCCACCCCTCCTGCCCCAGAGAGGCAGCCCTTCTAGAGGCTGGCGAGGCCCTACCTGCAGTGACCTCTCTCACTGCCTCATCCTCAGGTACCTTGCTGGACACGGATGGCCTCTACGATGAGGACGCGTGCACCCCTGAAAATCTGCAGAAGTAAGGACCCAGCTGCGTTGGGTGGGCGCGGGTGGATCCCGGGCTGGCTCCCAGGTCTGGGATGAGCAGTGTGCCCTGACTCAGGGGTGGAGAGACGGGCTGTGTGAGGCAGACAAGCCAGCACAGCTCCATGGGAAGGAAACCTGTGAGAGCCCCAGGGACTGAAGCTGGGGGAGGGGGTGCCGAGGCGAGGGTGGCCCTCAGGCCTCACGGGCTGGCCTCACCAAGGAGAAGCCTCCCAGTAGGCCTGGGGTCCTGAGGTGGCATTTCCTACACCAGCACCCAGAGTCCGGGTCACTCTCCAAGAGCTTGCCCTGCCCCAAGCCCCATCGGCCTTGGGGCCCTGCTGGGCACAGGAAAAGGGACCAGAATCTTCCAGGGCGAGGCCAAGATCCCTGTAGAAGAACCCTGGGGATGGCGTCTGCTCCAGGGAGCCTGGCAGCTGGTATCCACCAATTAGGCAAATAAAAATATGAGAAGAGCTAACACAAGCCAGTCATTTTCAAAGCAGAGACAGTTCCATCCCAGCCAAACTTCATTCTTGAACCTGTTGAGACGTCCATAAAGGACACATTTGAGAGGCCAGCAGCAGAACCAATTTATAATTCACAATGTGAGACTGCACAGAATCACAGTAATGGCTCCTCGCAGCTAATTTGAGCCAATTAATTAGATTATGGACTAAATTTGAAACATCATCCTATGCTGAGAAAATTATCTTTTTATGAGATGATGATTAAAAAATGACTATCAGTAACTCTTAGATCATTGATGCTGGAATTAATTATCAAAGGCAAAGGACAGTAATGGATTATATTTCTGAGAGATAACGATGTTCTGCATGTCATTCGTGTATTTATCTCAAGGCAGATAAAAACCTTGTAGGAGCCCATGTTTGCTGGCTGTGCCTGTGCAGGCGTCCCTTCCATTTGTCCAGGCATTAGCCGGCCGGGCAGGCCTGTGTAGTGTCTCTTGGTGGCTGCCCTTCCTGTCCCCTTCATCAGCCTGCATCTGCTCTCTGTGACGGGGTCTCCCATAAAGGCTCCTCCCCACTGGCTGGGCCCGGGAGGAAATCCGGCAGGAAGGAGTCGGCAGACAGGGAGTCAGAAGACTCAGATTCAGGGTGTGATACCCAACCCAAGCGCCTTGCCCTCCCTGTAGAACTTTGGCCAGCACTTAGGCACCCACATCAGTTTCCTTCCTTATCCCACGTTGTTCCTTTCCTGGTACACCGGGCCCCTAAAGTGTCCTGGGGCCCACAGCAATCGTTCTTGTGTCAGAGGGGGAAGTGGAAGCCCAGAGGTTTGGTGGCTCAGGGCCAGAGCGACAGAATCCAGTCCTGGGAGGGGGCATGGGTGCTCCCCTGGCTCCCCCGCTCCTGCTGCCTGAAACAAGAGTCATGGGGAGTCTGAGGACTTTCAGGAGAGAAGGGTACCCGAGGTTCACTACCAAGACCAAGTTCCCCCAGACAGGCCCGTATTGGCTCAGAGCAGAACCCCATTCTGCAGAGGGGCTAGGCAGTTCCATCCCTAACTCGGCCATGGGCTCTGGGTGGTGCTGGGTCCAAGCTGCAGCCACGGACAATGTCCCAGTTCAGAAAGGGAAAGCGAATGCTGGCTAGCCCAAGGTGGACATGGGACATTCCCAGGCAGATTCTGGAGTGGCCCAGATCAGTCAGGAACTTGTAGGCTCAGACTGTTTCCCTCCATCCCAGTCCCTTTTTGGGTCCACAGGGAAGACAGATCTTAAATGCAGGGGTTTGCTCTGACCTGCTTCCCTCACTTGGGGATGAGAATGTGGCTCCACACTGAGGACCTGGGGGCTGGGGCAGGGGCTCACCTTGCCTTCCTGTCTGCATGAGCAGGGTCTTGGAGAGTGAGGAAGGCCGCCGGGAGTACCTCGCCTTCCCCACCAGCAAGAGCGCTGGGGCAGGCCAGAAGGGACGCAAGGACCTGCTGAAGGGCAACGGCAGGCGCATCGACTACATGCTGTACACGGAGGAGGGACTGTGCCTGGACTGGAAAGCCGTGAGTCTGGGGCTGGGCCGGGCAGCCAGGCCGTGCTTGTAGATAGGAGACCCTGCGTCCTGCACCCTCGACAGCACTGAACTCTCCCCTCAAAGTGAGACCTGCCAGTCCCAGAGACCTCTGGGGCCCATGGGATCCTCCCACCCCTCTGCCCTCAGGGAACTCTGGGCCAGCCCCAGCCCAGAGGCCCTAGCCCCTGCCCTCCAGGTCCCTCCTTTGCAGTCTTTGGGTCTAACGGGGATGCTTCTGCCCCGCCCCTTCCTGCAGGAGGTGGAAGAATTCAGTTTTATCACCCAGCTGTCAGGCCTGACAGACCACCTCCCTGTAGCCATGCGGCTGATGGTGTCTGCGGCGGAGGAGGAGGCATAGACCAGCCAAGTCACCGGGAGCAGTTGGGCCTCTGCCAGCCCTCTGAGCCGAAGCCCCTTCCTGGCCACGTCTCCTCCAGCGGCGAGCACCCCCCGACCCCCGGTGCCAGGGGAGGAGGGCAGGGGCCCAGGGGGAGCCGCGGTTAGTCCCGGGTGAGCTGGAACCAGCGCTGCCCTGCACCTCTGGGCACTCACCGTTGGACACAGGAGTCAGGTCAGCCCCGGGAGCCCCGGCTACCCAACCAGTGCCATTCTTTCCAAACGTGATTTTCTACAAATCTACAGCACAAACTAGTTTGTAACCCGTGGGTTAGTATGAGAACCGGGTTTCTGTACTCTTTGTATCTCTTCTCAAGCTTCGTCCAGGGTTCATTATTTTTGTCTGCTGCCATGTTGTCTCGCATGCCTGCACCCTCGCATGCACGCTGCCTGCATGCCACGTGCCACACCGTAGCCACACAGACCCCTCGCTTGGGCCTCACCCAAGGCCAAACTCCAAACACAATCAGAACCAGCCAAAGAAGCATTCCTGGGCACAGGACCACCTGCTCACCGCCGCCAGCCGGGACGGCTCCCAAGCAGGGACCGTGAGGCTGTGTCCAGTTACCAGCGAGCCCGGGCTCTTCCCAGGGTCTTGCATTCAAGGGCGATCACATTTTAAAAAGAAAAACAGAAAAAGTTAAGAACAAAGACAACCTTTCACTTTAGAGGGTCTGCAAGCCGCACGGGAGAAGGCTGCTCTTCCCGAGATAGGCTCCCTTCCCCCCGGCGCACCAGGGCCCCAGAGACTCCGAAGTGGGCAGTGGAGCCATAGACAGGAATCCGGAGAGCATCACTTTTTTACAGGAAAAAGGGGAACTCACGGCTTTGGGGGGTGGGGGGTGGGGGGCTTCTGGTTTTGAAAATGCTAAGATTTGTAACTTCTCTTCTGTCAAAACCAACACATCTTTCTGCCTGATCCCGTCTCCCCCCTTGGACACCTCTGGTTTGGGACCAATCCTTCTGTGGGGCCCGTCCCCATCCACATGCTGGCTGAGCTCAGGAACTGTCCACCTGCCTCTGGGTGGGGCTGCGACTCTAATCTCCCATGCCCATTCTCAACAGCAACCGAGGGGCCCTGGACAAAGGCGGGGGAGCCAAGGTGCCGACAGCAGCCTGTCGCCTCATCAGTGTGCAGGCTGGGGGTGGCAAGGCCAATGGCCACCACTTGCCTGAGGCAAGGAGTGGTACTAGTTGGCGTCCAGATGCATAGACACCTATTCTGCTACTGTGTGACCAGGGCCAGTCCTGGACACCCAAGCATAGCGTGGCAGAGCCTGCAGGTGAGGCCCACAGCTCCCCACCCCACGGCAGCACTGCCTCTGTCCACCTGCCTTTTTAAACACACCTGGACCCGCTCCCCTGGTCATGCAGGGAGGGTTCTGTCTGTTTCCAGGTGTGAGGCTCCTCTGCCTCGGGGGAATGTTCTTGACAACCCCCACCGGTCTCCCCTCCTCGTAGTGCCCTGACCACGTGCCCACCTGGCTTGAAGCCAGCTCCACCCAGCAACGCTGGGGGTGCACCAGGACCCTGCTGCTGGGAGCCTCCTGGTGCCGGTGTGCTGATGCTGTGCCTTGTCACCCACTGAGCTGGAAGAGGGACGAAGAGGGAGCCAAGCTGCCAGCGAGAGGCCAGGCCCTTTACTGGGGGAGGACATTCCTGAGATTTGCACCTGTGGTGGCACTGGTTTATCTAAACCCAGCAGGCCAGGGCAGCAGCTGGGCTGAGGGCTTTGCTGTTAGGAGCACTTCACTGGCCAGGCCCCCAGCCCCACCTTGTGTCCAGAAGCCAGGACAGGCTGCTCACCACCGGCTGAGGGTGCTGTCCCTCCTGGGCTCTCTGCTGTGCCCCTCCTCATAGGGCCTGGCTCTCAGGGCCTTGGGTAGGCTTCCTGCGGTCAGAGGGCCCCCATTCCCAGGAGCAGCCAGAATCTCTGCTCCCACGGGTGGGGCCCAACTAGATAGCCAGGCCTGAGCTGAGGCCCCCCAGGCTGGAAGTCGGCTGTGTGCCTGGGAGAGCAGCAGAGGCCGAGGCCAGGGCTCCTGAAGCAGAGAAACTCCAGCACAGCTTCCATCCCTCCGAGAGGCCGCCTACCCCCAGGGCAGCTTGGTGGGAGCCAAGGCGCAGGGGGCACATGCTTCTCTCCCTCACTCACAGGGCGCCTTAGGCAAGTCATACCTCCCTGTGCCTCAGCCATTTCCTGTCCTAACAAGGTCGCCTCTGCCCAGCCTGGCCCTGGCGTCCAGAGCAGGGCTGGCCCACCCCCCGGCCCCCCTCGCACCTCCCTCTGGCGCGGCCTCTGCTGAGGCTGCCATTGCCCAACCACATGTTTCATGAAGCCTGTGGACTCCCAGGGCCATGCACAAGCCAGACTTTTCCATTTTGATTTTTAAAAAAGAAAGAAAAGAAACATTGCCAAGATCTCAGATTCTGTGGCATCTAGGCCTGGGAGGGGCAGACACAGGTCACCCAAATCCCCAAACAAGGCCCGCGCCTGCCCCGGGCCCGGCCTCCTCCGGGGAAGCCAGGAGGTGGGGTCAGCTCTGGAAGGAGACAGTCATTTGCATTTGTCCAAACCACCTTGAGTTTTAAGTATGAATATTAATCTTGATGCTTTTTAACTATTGTATTAACTTGCTAAGATTTAGAAATACTGTTTTAAAAAGAAAAAAAACACTTTTTTAATTTCTGTATTCTTTTCTGTATTGTATCCTCATGGGACATTAGGGGTTTTATATGGTAAGCACACCTAAGGTTTTGGTAAAAACATTATCAAATATATATCCAGACGATTCTTCCCTAGAAGAAAAACAGTCTTTACACCGATAAAATATTTTCAAAAGAGAAGTGTTTTTTTCCTTTATTGGTGCTGAAAGGAAGGATGGCTAATGAGGAGAAAATAAAACTGTGAGGCTCAAGGCTTGTGTTTTCCACTTATTTGAGCAAAAAGCTGGGGCCAGGCCCTGCTCCAACTCAACTCCAGGGCTGGGTGGCCAGGCAGGACTGTGGGGGCAGCGCTGGGGAGGCCCTGCCTTTCTTGCCTCCTCCTGCAGGACAGGCCCAGCCCACGTCTGCACTGAACTGGCAGGACACTGGGCCACTTGGGTTCTCTTACTTGGTGTCTCCTCGTTCCCTCTGGAACTGGGAGTAAACAGCAAAAGGGCACCTTGAGTGTGCGGCAAAGCAAGGCTGGGGCCTCCTCAGGACTCTGGCCTTACCTGGCGAGGCAAGGGCAGGCTGGGGTGGCGGCACCATACCCATCTGCCCCAGACTTCTGAGGTGGCAGGAGGTCCTTTGCTAAAAGGGGGGGCACACGGGAAGAGGCGCACCTCCTGGCTCCCTGTCCTGATGGCTGGTTTCCTGGTCTACATCTCAGGAGCTGCTCTGGGACAGCTCTTCTCTGTCCTCTGAACAGCAACCTGGTGTCCAGGTCTTGGGCCTTAGTCACCTGCTGGTGCTGCACACCAAGGCCAGACACCTCTGAATGTGGCTTGGTGACATTACCCAGCAAGTGACAGGGCCAGAACCCCAGCCTCGGCCTGGCCCTGCTGGGGTCTTCAAGGCCCAGGGCCCAACCACAAGTCAGTGTCTCCACCTCAGAAGCCCTCCCAGCTGGAGCCAGGCAGGCAAGTCCCAAAGGTTCCTGGGGTGCAGGCCAGGCCGGCTCCCACCATGGGCAGCACACTCGCCTCGGCACTGTGCTGCCGAGAACAGCACCCAACCTGCCCAGCCCAGCTGACTACGGGGCTCCGCTCCTTTCCAGGGAGGGCACGAGAGACAGTGCTACCTTCGAGCTTCTGAGCACTTCAAAACCACTGCAGGGGGAGCCCCCCGGCCCCTCCTTGGCTCCAAATTCAGCCAGCAGCCCACACCTGGAGCAAGGAGCTGGCAATACAATAATGGAAAAAAAAGGCCAGGCTGGGCCCTGAAAGGACAGGTGCCTCCACCTTCCTTCCCAGAAAGCCACACCATTCAGAGCCCAGAGCACTCAGGCCACTTTATTTCTCAATGAGTGAGGGTCAGTGCTCATCCTCCAGAGTGTCTGAGAGTGTGAAATCCATGGTGATGTCGCCAGTATGGGGGTGGAACTCCACAGTGTAGCTGACTGTTCGAGAGCCGCCCAGCGGTGCGCTAGGGTCCAGCGTGGTGCTGAAGAAGTACACAGCCTGCTTGCAGTGGGGATTCCAACAACAGTCCCCCTGCAGGAGGGGTAGCAAGAAGGCAGTGAGGGCTCCCAGTACCCAAGCCCCTTCCTGACCAGCCACTAGTCCAGGCAGCTTGCAGTGGGAAGCTGCTACCAAGGCCAGGTAACCCAGGGCCAAGTGACCCAGGACACTGAGTTATCACCCCGCTGAATGGGTTGGGAGTACCCAGAGCATAAGTGAGTGGCATGGCCTCCCCCAGCAGTGCCTGCTCTCAGGGTGGGCCCACTCAGGGACCTGCAAGCACAGTATTACCTTGTCCTCTGCAGGCTTCAGGAGGCCGGTGCTGACCGTGCTGTCCTGAGTCAGGTGGTATTCCATCCACAGGACGACCCCATGACTCTTCCCAGGCCTGGGAGGGTGGGGTGGGATGTTGGGCCAAACAGAAACAGCCATATGAGAGGTGAGTGAGCACAGCCATGGCTCCCTTCTGCTTTCCAGAAACCTCTGGTCTTCCCCACTTCCATCCTGCCTGGCCAGGAAGCTCCTAACACTCCCCCTGACTAAAGGCTACTCAGTAAAATACTGAGGAAGAAGAGCCACAACCCAAACTCACTCCTCGCGGCCTGGCCAAGCACTCAAAAGAACCGTGGAGCAGCACGAGCCTCCTTGGCCTGAGGTCACGAAAGGCTTGGTCCAAGAGGCTCAGGGCGCAGCCTTGGCACCAAAAACTGGAAGCACCCTCCCAGATACCCTGGATGGCAGGCCCAGATGGGTATTTGCCCTGCCTCCCCCTCGTCAAAGAGCCCCGAGGGGTTCTGGGCTCACGGCCTCCACCCAGTTAGAAGAGAGTTCTTCCTCCAGAAGCAGCAGCTCCTCCCCATGAAGACAGGTGGAGCTGGATGGGCCTGCCGGTGCCTCGCAACGAGCAGCTCTCGCCAATTCCAAACCTGCTTTGATTCCCAGGAGAGTTCAGGAAAATGGTCCAATGGGTAACCATAGCAACCAAATTCACGTTTCTCTGCAGCTGTAATTCAACATGCCGCTTAGCTCAAAGGGAGTCTCAGATGTGGGGGGATGAACAAAGCCCACTCTGGCTCTCCCTCCCCACCCACACATACCCAGAGACACCCGCTATACACTCAGGGCCACTTCAGACCAGAAAGGGCAAGGCTGAGACAAGGAGAGCCATTTCACCCATGTGAAAGTGGCCTAAGTGCATGCTTAGCCATGTGGGCAGTAACTACTAGACAGAAAGTAGGCCCACTGCTTTCTTCCCCCACGCCCCCTACCCTAGAGCCTACACTCACCTCCTCAGCTCGATGGAGCCCTCAGCACGCACAGGCTGCGGGGGGACTGGCTGCCGAAAATCAAAGGTCAGGATCTGCTGGGGCTCAGAGAGGCCGCGGCACGGGTACTCCCACAGCGGGTGGGGCTCAGCCTCCTTGCTCTCCCTGAAGTCCAGGGCACGCTGAGGAGGGAAAGGGGTGTGGTGGTCTGCAGAAACAGAGCCAGGCAGCCCAGGGGACAAGGTGCTCGTACCCCATCTCCAGGGTCTATGCCAGTCGCCCCTCACTTCCATGGCCCGGGTTCCTCAGAGTAACTGCCACAGTCACAGCAGTGGATGCTCACAGAAAGACCACAGGCACCTGGATCAGACCAGCTGGATTCTTGTTCCCTGCCGCCACTCACGAGCCGTCTCCCTGGGGAGTCACTTTACCTCTCTAAGCCTCATTTTCTCCCTTTTTAAAATGGGATGAGACTGCCCATTTCATGAGTTGCTCTGAGAACCAAAAGTCTACAATGGTGAAAACACCTGGCACTTGGCCACTTGACCATTCGTGACCCTTCCTAAGCACTACAGCTGCCAGACCACCCCCAAACAAAGGCTCCTGGTCTAAAGGGAGACAACATGGACACCAGCAATCGCAGGGCCTGGGGAGCACTGACCTCTAGTGGAGAATGGGGCTGGGTGAGAAAACTGCCCAGAAGGGTGTTCTCTGGGCTGCCTCCTGAAGGTCACACAGGAGTTCGCAGGGAGGAGAGGGGACAAAGCCAAGTAGGGAGAGGACGCAGAGAAGAGCCCAGGGCAGGCTGAGCGGCAGAGGTGACGCTGCAGGGGTGGGGGTTGGGGGAGCCTGACAAGATTTTCCCACAGGGGACAGACAGGGCCACACGGAGGATCTACAGGTTCACGAAGGCTCCATGTGGAGGAAGGCCGAGCGGGAGAGACAGGAGGCTGCACGGTCACAGGTGAGAAATGAAAGTGGCCCAGACCAGAACAGCAGCAGTGGGGGAAGAAAACTGAGGACCCGACTGTTATAGGACCAGATGACAAACTGCAACTGAAGGCAAGGACTTGCCTGGGAGGATGCCCGGGGCCCTGAGCCCAAGCAGTTGGGTATGAAGCGGTGGCAGACCTAGGACGGGAGCAGTGGAAGGAGCCAGACTAGGGGTCAGGGGGAGCAGGGGGGAAGAGCAGGTGGATTTTGGAAGCATTAAGGTCAGAGTCCACTGCTCTTAGCTATTTGGTCTGAGTTCAGGTCTGAGTTGAGGAGAGATGCAGACATTGGCCAGCAACAGAGAGGACAAAGGGGACAGCCAGGGAGGGCAGGGTCAGGCAGAGGCCTGAGGGTGACCTAGAACACACAACACCTTAGGGGACTGGAAGGGTGGGATGAGTTCAGGAAGGAGCCTGAGTGTGAGGTGACTCGGCACAAAAGAAATTTCTAAAAGCATGGAACAGTCAGTGGTGTGCTGTGGAAGGGCAGATAATATACAAACTGAAAATATCCACTGGCTTTATTTACTTAAAAAAATGTTTACACAAGCAATCTATAATCACCGTAGAAAAATTTGAACAGAAAGACAAGCAAAAGAAGGAAAAAATTAACCACTTCCTAATCACACAGCTTATATTCTGGTGTCCACTATTCCGCTTTTTCTCAGTGTGTATGCGTGAATTTTCTTAATACAGACAAATGGAGTCGTGTCCCTTGTTCTGCCCTTCTCATGTGGACATATCATGACAATTTCCTTTAATCCTTGCAGATCCAACTATCATTGGCACTTGCACGTCTGCCCTTGGTTCTGGGGGATGCAGACCCTGGTAACTGACTAAGTCCCCTAAATTGATATATAAATAGCCCCAAGGACCACCCTTCCACATCCCTCCCCATACTCTAACAGCTTCCCTTGGAATGGAGTCCCCAAAATGAAAATGGCTAACTCAGAAGGTTACCAAACTGCCTTCTAGAAAAGCTGTTCAGAGAGAACAAGCTGCTGACGTTGGCAAGAACAGTTCCAGTGGTGTGGTGATGGACAGGCTCCAGCCCAAAACTCTGATTCAGGGGTTACAGCCCAGGACCAAGAAGGGCCTAGTATCCGACTTTGAGACACAATAGTTCTCAGGTTCATAGTGAACCAAGCAGAACAGATATACCTGCCCTCACCGCCCTTAACAGAAGAATTCCCTGCACACTGCACACACTGCCAAACCCAGGTCCCTCCACTGAAGCCAGATGTCCCTGTTAGAGGCCTGTGGCCGTGAGGAGTGGGTGGGTGGGACACTGCGGGTGGGAGCTGTGGCCCCACCTACCTTAATCATGTCATCCATGATGTGAACGTCAAAGCCTTCACAGTCACCACAGGGGCTCCGGATCCGCCACAGGTCCTGTGAGGAAGGTGCAGCCTTCACTGACACCCACCTGCCAAGGCACACAGACATCCATACCCACCCGGGGACACAAAAGTGTGGTGACAAGAGCAAGAAGGGTCAGTGAGGTCGGGCCAGGGGCTGCCCCAGTCCAAAACCTGAGATACATCTTGCTATTCCCACACACCTGGAAGAGACCCCCAAGGCTGAAGGAACTCAGAGACACCAAAGATCCAGGTTGGTTCTTCAAGTCTGCCAAGTCTCATAGGACCCCAAGTCCTCTCCTACAAGGGGACAACCGGCCAGAGCTACCAGGCTGGGGGTTCTCACTCCCTGTCCATTCTGAACACCATTTCTTTGGGAAGAAATCTGTAAATCAGTTCTCAAGGCTCTGCGCCTATAAACAGTATGAGGACAATGGGAGGGAGGGGACCAGAAGCGCACTCAGGCCAGGCAGCTCTGCGTCCTCTGTCTCCTGGAGGTATGCGTGGATAAGTGTCATTCTCCACATTCCCTCTGTGGCCATGAAAACCAGAATTCATGTGGAAAACTGACCAGGTAAATAAATAACAGAAGAAATGTCCAGAAAATAAGTGATGGAGCCACTAAGCTGCCAATGGATAAAGCCATTCTTATCAGAGAAATATCAAACGAGGCTCCCCCTACACTTCAGGTTACAGCATTTCAAATCCTTTTAATAAAAAAGGCCTTTCCCAAAATGACTTTGTGACTGGTTCTGCTTTGATGAGAAAATTAAAATGAAGCTTTTCAAGTTTTTCTTACAAAAAGAAGCCGACTCTCCCGTCTCAAAACGCTTTTAACAACTGGAGCCTCAGCTCTTAATGAGAGCAGAGCAAGCCACACAGCATGTCTTCTGAAACTCTTAATTTATATTTTTTTAATTATTCTGATAAGACATAATTGTAAAATAACAAGACACAGCCATTTCCATTTCATACGCCAAATTACTGCATTCTTACAGAGGTAAGCCTCTTCTATTCAACCCTGCAGTGCGCTGATCCAAAAAAGCAGGGGCCCAAATCATTAAGACCTGACTTGCTCCATCTGCATACAAAGTCTTCAACAAAACAAGGTCCCCCCCCCCACCCATTCTGCAAAAACCTTTGGGTGGCCTACCCTGAACTCCACGACCAGAGCATACAGCGAGGCAGCCTGGGGCATCACCACAGCGCCAGGCCCTAGGTGCTGGTCCACCGCAGTCCGCACATACCAGAAGAACAGGTTGTGCCATGGCAGCAGGCTAGTGGTGAAGAACGGCTCCCCCAGGAGGAGAGAGACCTGGCGACCAGAGCAAGAAGCAGGACCAAGGCGTCAAAGGATTTGGCTGAAGAATGAAGAACAGGTCACAAGTTTCACAGGTACATGGAAGTAACTGGCCATTCATTCTTTCACTCACTCACTCAGTCAACAAACAATCATGCCAAGTCTGCACCTGCCCTTGAGGATACAAAGATGAGAAACAGACACAAGGCCTGCCCTCAGGAGTACAGAGTGGAAGAGCAAGGAGATGAGGCTGGGGGCTGTCCTCGTAGAGTGTGGTAAGCTCTGACAGAAGCAAGAAAGGGGCACACAGAGGGACCCCAGGGGTAAGGGCATCAGGAAGGGCTTCCAGGACAGCATCCTGTGAATCCCCACTCAAAGCTTTATCATGACAATTTATCCTCAGGTCTTGTCTAACTGTCTCCTTCACTAGGCTCTGAGCACCACAGAAGTGGGGGTGTTGGCAGCACAGTATCCCCAAAACCTAGCACAGTGCCTGGCCCGGAGCAGATGGTCAGTAAAGGTTTGCTGAGTGAATGAACAAATGCATGAACAGGGGTCAGAAAAGGAAAGGCGTGGGGCCCCCAGACAGAGGGACAGAAAGAGGCAAAAACATAGGTGTGAGTGAGAGTGAGGCCCTTTCAGGAACTCGTCAGATGAGGTGCAAGGAAAACGATAAAGGGTGAGGCCAGAGGGATGCAGAGGAGCCAGGACACCCAAAGGCAGCTGATGACAGGCTAAGGGGGCTGGACTCTGCCCTGGAGGCAAGAGGAGGGGGGTCACTAAAAACTTTAATCAAGATTTCAAAATGAAAGGAATGCCTTTTAGAAAGATCGCTCTGACGACCACAAAGCATGTGGGGAGACCACCTGCAGGTGGAGCTGGGAACAGGAGGTGACTTGGGTGAGTACTGCAACAGTCTAGGCAAGGAGTGGGGACTCTGTGTAAAAGGAGGAGAGCAAGACATGGCAGATGCTAGGAGACAGACCATCCAGGGTTTGGCCCATACAGACGGGCACCAAGAGAGGGACTAGCCAGAGACGATACCTGGGTTTCTGGGTGAGACGAGAGAGACAGAAGGACACAATGAAGACAGAAAGTGCTTGGCCCTGAGTACTCCCTGCTCCCAAACAGGAGGAACAAGGCAAGAATGCCCACTCTCGCCACCTCTACTTAATAGTGACCTGGAGTCTACCCAGTGCACCTTATCAATGGCTTACAGAATTTAAATCTATCTTTAATCCTTACCTATAAGAAGAAAAAGGGCAACTTGTACGTGAATGTTCAAAGCAGTATCATTCATATTAGCCAACAAGTAAAAACAAGCCAAATGTTCATTAACTGACAAATGGATAAATAAAACGTGGTATATCCATACAATGGAATATTATTCAGCAGTAAAAAGAAATGAGAAAGTGACATCAGCATCATGGCAGAGTGAGCTTCCCCAGTAATCTCTCCCCTCCAACATACAACGAAAAGGACATTCATACTCCAACAGAGAACATCCAAACACAACACAAAAAACGTCGGAGAGACCCACGCAGCCATATGATAGAGGGTGGAGAGGCTGGAGTCCCCCTTGGAGGAGGTGGAATAGGGGTTCACCGGTTCAGATCCTGGGTGCAGACATGGCACCACTTGGCACGCCATGCTGTGGTAGGCATCCCACATATAAAATGGAGTAAGATGGGCATGTATGTTAGCTCAGGGCCAGTCTTCCTCAGTGAAAAGAGGACCGGCAGCAGTTAGTATTAGCACAGGGCTAATCTTCCTTGAAAAAAAAAAAGAAAACCCCAAAGAATCCATTGGAAAATTTTTAGCAATAATCAACAACTACAGCAAAGTTGCAGGATATAAAATCAACTTACATAAATCAGTAACATTTCTATACTCTAATAAAGAACTAACAGAAAAAGAACTCAAGAACACAATACCATTCACAATTGAAACAAAAAGGATAAAATACCTCAGGGTGAATTTAACTAAGGAAGTGAAACACCTATACAATGAAAACTACAAGGCTTTCCTGAAAGAAATGGATGATGACATAAAGAGATAGTAAGACATTCCATGCACATGGATTGGAAGAATAAACATAGTTAAAATGTCCATACCTAAAGCAATCTACAGATTCAATGCTATCCTAATCAGAATCCCAATGACATTCTTTACAGAAATAGAACAAAGAATCCTAAAATTCATATGGGGCAACAGAAGACCCCAAATTGCTAAAGGAATCCTGAGAAAAAACAACACAGCTGGAGGCATCACAATCCCTGACTTCAAAACATACTACAAAGCTACAGTAATCAAAACAGCATGGTACTGGTACAAAAACATGTGCACAGATCAATGGAACAGAATTGAAAGCCCAGAAATAAAACCACACATCTATGGACAGCTAATCTTCAACAAAGGAGCTGAGGGCATACAATGGAGAAAAGAAAGTTTTTTCAACAAATGGTGCTGGGAAAACTGGAAAGCCACATGTAAAAGAATGAAAATTGACCATTCTTTTTCACCATTCACGAAAATAAACTCTAAATGGATCAAAGACCTAAAGGTAAGACCTGAAACCATAAGGCTTCTAGAGGAAAATGTAGGTAGTACACTCTTTGACATCAGTATTAAAAGGATCTTTTCGGACACCATGTCTTCTCAGACAAGGGAAGCAAGAGAAAGAATAAACAAATGGGACTTCATCAGACTAAAGAGCCTCTTCAAGGCAAAGGAAAACAGGATTGAAACAAAAAAACAACCCACTAATAAGGAAAAAATATTTGCAAGTCATATATCCGACAAAGGGTTAATCTCCATAATATATAAAGAAGTCATACAACTCAACTACAAAAAACCAAACAACCTGATCAAAAAATGGGCTGGAGACACGAACAGACATTTCTCCAAAGAAGATATATGGATGGCCAATAGGCACATGAAAAGATGCTCAGCATCACTGATCACCAGGGAAATGCAAATCAAAACTACACTAAGATATCACCTTACACCTGTTAGAATAGCAAAAATAAGCAAAACAAAAAGTAACAAGTGTTGGAGAGGTTGTGGAGAAAAAGTATCCCTCATACACTGCTGGTGGGAACGCAAACTGGTGCAACCACTAAGGAAAATAGTATGGAGATTTCTCAAAAAATAAAAAATAGAAATACCATGTGACCCAGCCATCCCACTACTGGATATCTATCCAAAGAGCTTGAAGTCAGCAATTCCAAAAGTCCCATGCACCCCAATGTTCATTGCAGCACTATTTACAATAGCTAAGACGTGGAAGCAACCTAGGTGCCCATCAACTGATGAGTGGATAAAGAAGATATGGTATACATATACAACGGAATACTACTCAGCCATAAAAAAGAATAAAATCGTCCCATTCACAACAACATGGATGGACCTTGAGGGAATTATGTTAAGTGAAATAAGCCAGATAGAGAAGGACAATCTCTGTATGACTCCACTCATATGAGGAAGTTAAACCTGTGGACAAAGAAAACAGATTAGTGGCTACCAGGGGAAAGGTGGGCTGGGGGGTGGGCACAAAGGGTGAAGGGGTGCACCTACAACACGACTCACAGACAATAATGCACAACTGAAATTTCATAAGATTGTAAACTATCATAAACTCAATAAAAATTAAGTTTAAAAAAAAAGGCATGGGAAAAAATGGGCAAAAGACTTGACTAGATATTTCACCAAATAAGACACAGGATATTTAAACAAGCACATGAAAAGGTGTTCAGCATCATCAATCATTAGGCAAATACAAACCAAAACTATGAGACATCATTACACCTACTAAAATGGCTACAACAAAAAAGAAAGACAATACCAAGTGGCGGTAAAGGCTTAGAGAAACTGGAACACTCCTACGTTGCTGGTGGGGATGGTACGGCCACCTTGGACAACAGTTTAGCAGTTTCTTAAAAAGTTAAACAAAAATATAGTACAACCCAGCAATTCCAAGCCTAGGCATCTATCCAAGAGAACTGGAAACATATCCTCGCAGAGACTTAGACATCAATGTTTACAGCAGCATTATTCACAGCAGCCAAAAACTGGAAACAATCCAAATATCCATTAACAGGTGAATAGTTAAACAAAATATGGCATATTCATCCCATGGAACTATTTAGCATTAAAAAGGAACAAAATACTGACACATTCTACAACATGGATGAACCTCAAAGACATGCCCAGCAAAAGCAGCCCAACACAAAAGACTATATATTGTATTATTCCACTTACATGAAATACCCAGAAAAGGCAAATTCATAGAGACAGAAACCAAATCAGTGGTTGCCTGGGGCTGGGGGCAGGGTGATAGAAAGGTTGTAAAACTAGATTGTATGATAGTTGTACAACTCCATAAATTTACTGAAAAAAATCACTGAATTATATACTTTAAATGGGTTAATTTTATGGTATCATCTCAATAAAGCTGTTAACAAAAATGCTGGCAAGGAAGATGACAGGTTCCAGCCTGAAGAGCCTGTGGGATATTTGAGGAAAGATATCTGGTTGGCAATCAGACATATGAGATTTGAAGACCCAGCTTTGATGGTCATGGATTCCTGAATGGGAAGGGAGGTGATGACCTGGAGAAGAGAAACAGGGAGAAGAGAGGATGGACAGGGAGAGAGGTCCAAGAAACATCCCTAAGGAAGGATCGAGTGAAGGAAGAGAAACCCAGGAAGGACTGAGAAGGAGCAGCCAGAATGATAAGAGGAAAATCTGGACAGTCTCTTGAGAATCTAAAGAGAACTGTGTTGAAGAGGGAGAGGTCCCTGGGTGGTAAGGGTCCAGGGGGACAGTGAGATGACGTGGCAGGGAGACGATGTTAGTAACTAAGAGGTTACTAAGAGGTGGGAGCTGCTTCAGAGGCCCACACTGAGACTGAAGACCGACTGCGGCGGGGGAAGGACACAGGAAGGTGAAGCGAAGGCAGCAGGGCTGTCTGTGAGAGGACACGACAGGCTGCTGTCAACCCCAGCAGAGCCGTTATGCCCTCCCCTGAAGGAGCAGAGATTAGGCAGAGTTCAGAGTAGTTCAAGTGCGTGTTCATCGGGCATCGCTGCAAACCCTCACCACACCCTCAACAGTGGCGAGTTCTTAGCTGGTGAGTGACACAGGGGCCTCACAGTGAGACCCGGAGAGAGTCGGGGAGCTTGGGCCACTCAGTGCTGTGCTGTCCAGGGCAAATGCAGGCCTCTCGCTACTCACCTTTTTACCCTCCAAGTCTGCAGATGTTAATAATTCAGGCCGTTTCTCTATTATATTAATTTTATCTTCCAAGTGGTTAGCCTTGAAGATCTTAGAGAGAAAACAATAAAAGCATTGCTTTTGTCCAGGAAAAAACACCTCCAAGTTGCGCTATCTGTTTGTAGTTTTCTGGCCAAATGTTCTGGAGCACTACTTTGATCTGCTTTGTGGAAATTCTCCCCTCCAGGGGCATCCAATAGACCAAGGATGAGATCACTAGCAAAACGTAACAGCAAAAGAAATTTCTCTCGTAGGCCCATCAGCAGGACTTAGCAATAGGCTTGTAGTTCTGGTGGAGGTGGGTTATCCTTCAGAGAAGAAATCAAAACCAATCACTGGCCAGGAGGAGAAATACCACCATGGAACCAACCAGTCAGGTCAGCCTGTGAGCAGTGACTCCCTGGGTGCTGATGTCCCAGAAATAAATCATAAATTCAGTTCTATCAAAACAAAGATTTTAGTTTAGTTTTATGTGAAGTGAAAAGAAAAGCCTACACCTTCAGCCACAAAAAAACAAGAGTCTACACATTTGCTGCTATTCAATGACAGCCCCAGAAGACTTCCAGGCCAGCTCTCAGTGTGGGAGCAACGAGAACTCTCACTGGCAGCTGCTACTTCTCCCAGTTCCCTTGGCACCAACGCTGCTTCAGAGCAATCAATCCCAGACTCTGGAAGGCAGGCCCCACAGGTCCCCTCATTATTTCAGTAACAAGAATTATCACTTACTTTTTTCATCAGTCTATGAGAAGCTGCTGAACTCTCTATTGTAAATACCTAAAGAAAATACCATGCTATTAGTTGTAGGAGATTCACTTAAGAGAGAAAGAAATTAAAGATTAAAATGCAACAAAGTCATTCCAATGCAGAGGCTGCCACTTAACCAACTCTACCTGTCTTATTACCCACTGGGACAGCACTGACATTCTGCACTGCCCCTGGTGAGGTGGCAGACTCAGACACCGGAGCTGCAGCTACAGCCTGACTCCTGCCTGCCCACAGAGGCAATACACCCCTAAGCCCCTGAACCAAGCACGCCACACACACGGCAGCCGCACTTGCAAAGAACTTTAGTCCCAAAACTGAGCACCCGAACCACACAACACCCTAAGTCAAGAGCTGCCCATAGGAAGCTGAAGAAGGCACATGTCCACTACCTGCTCTGCCCCAAGATGATGCGCCAGCATGGAGAGTAGGCTGCCGTCACTGACACACAGGCAGACACTGTCTGATTTCAGCACCTGCAGGAAAAGAGCAACCTCAGCACAGGTTTTCTTACAATCTGTCAAGAAATTCTTGTTGGCAAACTGATAGAAACACTTCCCTTCTCCTGACCCCACTAACTCACTCCAATCATTCAGTCTGATGTCCTCCTCACTCCACGCCCGCCATGACCCGGCTGGATCTTTGTGCCCCCACACCAGTTATACTTGCCTCCCAGGCCCAAGTGGCAATAGCCCCCACCTTCCAACACATCCACCTCACTCACCTCTCCCCACTCAGACCCCAGTGTCAGGAAAGACCGTCCTCTAGCTGTTCTAGAAGGCCCAGCTGAAGACCTGCCCCATGTGCCTGAGGCCACCTCCTCCCAGTCCGTGGCGACAGGCCTCTTCCCTGTCTAGTCACAGCACCAACAGCTGTGGGCCTGTCGAGTGACTCGCCAAAGACAGGGATGCATTTCTGGGTCATAGATCCCTCCAAGAGAAACCTAGGACAGTTGGGATCCTCCTTCCCCCCAAAACGCATGCACGTGCATACATGTACCCATATTTCTGCATATAACTCTAAGGGGTCCAAGAGTCCCCCCTCCAAACCCTGTGTGTGGTCCCCAGGCCGAGAGACACCTGCCGTAGGTAGCAGGGGGCAAAGGTTTTCAGGTAGGAGAATTATGTGACCAGATTTATATTTTAGAAAATTTTAGAAAGGAGGCAGCAGATGAAAGGAAAAATGGGGCGGCTGGATCCACTGGGAGCACTCACAGGATCTGCTGGTAACCACAAATGCGAAGTGTCCAGAGAGACAAAGGCAGGGGTCAGGGGGAGGCTCCTAGCCTGAGGCTCTCACAGGAGAGCAGAGAACAGGCCCTCAGGTAGTCCAGGAACAAGCTCCCCAGCTCTCTGCTCAAGTGCCCGCCCAGAAGGAGCTGGCCAAAGCCACTCACAGACCAGGGAGCACAGAAAACAAAACCAGCAAATCACAAGCAAGGAGTGAGCTGGGGCCCATGGGACAAACTCCTTCTTGACCACAACCACTCAAGGGGCTGGACACTTACTGTCCTCAGGGCCTGGATGTATTGGTCAGTTCTATCCTGATCGTTGATCTCTCCAAACCGAGGCCGGTTCCAGAGCAAGTGAGCCTGGCAGTCACACACAGGACGCCCAGGATGGATGCTCTCATTCTTTTCGGGGCTGAGCCAGGAAATGAACCAACAGACACAGGGCATGAGCATGACCTGCTAGACATCAGCAAGAATGAAGACATGACACAAGAAACTTCCCCAGTGAAACAGAGACGGGGCACAGGGGGCACACCCATAGTCCTCCAGAGGGCATGAGTCTAGGCACCGGCTCTTGAGTGGCTGTTAGAGGCTGGAGGGCCCTCCCACTGAAGACTTCTCATACATGTCTGTTCCCAATGGGGGCCTCGCAAACGGTGCTGAAATAGCCAGTCAGAAACTTGCTCTTATTTTATTCTGTTCAGATACAAATGTGCCCACTTGTGCCTCTACAGGGTCTGTAAATGGGGAATTTACATAAATGCACAGTGTCACAGGCCCAGTGCCCCATCCCATGCAGCTCAGGGCACACCTGGTCCTCTGAAGACTGTACCATACACAGTAGTCGTCGTGGTGGGCTACCAGGAAGACGGCTGAGCCCTGTATGACAGGCTCCTCTTGTGGTAGGAAGTACACACACTGCATCCAGTGGTCCCGCCACTGAAATGGGGAACAGAGAATCAGCTGTTACTGAGCTGCAACAAGAGCAATACTTCTAATCCAAGAGCCAAAATCTAAGCCAAACATCAGTTTGCAGGGAGACCACAGTGTGGACTACAGAAAGCTACTGTGGCTGAAGAGATGAAAATTTCAAGTCAGAGAGGCTAATGCCAGAAAGCTTGCTGGAACACTGCTGGCTTTAGGAGGATACAGTGTGGCCTAGGGCAGCCGTATTCAAGAGGGGCTCAGGAGGAGAGGACTCCAACCCCTGCCCTGGGTGTGCACACGTGCGCACCTGTGCGTGCGCGTATGCGCGCGCAAGTGTGTGTGTGTGTGTGTGTGTGTAGCGATGGAAGGAGGGAGGCAGAGAGGGAGAGAGAGAAAGCAAATGTGGCAAATGTTAACAACAAGTAAAGGGCATATCAGTGTTTATTTTCACTTATTCTGTGGATTTAGAATTTTTCAAAATAAAACATTGGGAAAATAGTACAGAAAGGTTTGTGTTGTTTATTCTTTTAAATTAAATAGTTTTTAAAGAAATGGAATACTCCAAATTGTGAAATGGTTTACAATGATGCAGAGTCAACCTTTAATAAGCTGTGCTGATCTTTCTTGTTACTATAAACCAGACATACAAGATTCTATCCTAAGAATAAACAAATAAAAAAAGAAAAGAAAAAAGCTATATTCACATAAATATGCATATTACAGAACTACTTATACTAGCAAAAACTGGAACCAATCCAAATGTCCAGCAGTTCAGAAATGAATATATAAATTCTTATGCAGAATACCTGCAGACATTTAAAATGGTGAACGTGAAGACTATGGCGCAGCAGGAAAAAACAGAAATAAGCCCTGAAAAAGACCCATGCATGTGGAAAGAGACCAAAGAAAGGGAGTTCTTTTGGCTGGTGGGACCGTGAGCGACTTTTGATTCATTTTCGTTTTACATAATGAGGTTTATTACTTGTAATCTTTAAGCCTCTTTTTAAAAAAGAAAGACCTGACCTAAAAAAGTAGATGCCTGGCTCAACTCTGAGGAGATGACTGCCACCTCATTCTCTGTTATCACCAGGAACTAAGGAAAACTTGGCCCCTGAGACTCCAAGAGCGCCACTCAGCACAAAAGCAAACACAGCTGATGCCAGCCCCACTTCTCAGAAACACAGTCTACCCGACCCAGTTCTGAATTTAACTCAAAGGCAGGTGAATGACATTCTCGTTTATCTAAGATGTCTATTTGAACATGAAAGCTAGAAATGAAAATCTAACCAGATATGTTCTAGGAAGAACAAAAAGTGACAAGGAGGAAAAAAAGCTTCTCTAAAACCCATTATTTGTTCCTTACCACACAAATTTGATCCAAAGACAAGAGAAGCCTTCCCTGACCCTTCTGCCCCGCTTGCCTAGTGCTTCCCTGTCACCAGGTCCAGCCTCCCAGGTCCTAATGCTAAAGAGCTGCTGACAGAATCCACTGTCCAAGGTGAGATGGGCTGAATATATTTCGGATCAAAAGCAGTTTAGGGAAGTCATGAGGGAGATTCATTAACAGCTCTTCAAATTCCTAACAGTCCAAAAGTCACCACCTAAGGACACTAGCCCCACAGTCAGGAGACCTGGGGACGAACACCCACCACTGGTGCTTAGACACGAGGCTCTGCTCCAATCACTGGGCTGGGCTGAGTCTCAATTTGGGCATTCTGTGGTTGCCCAGCATGTCTTATATGAGGATTCAAGGAGAAAATACACATAGCAGCACTTTGAAGATATGCAAATGAAAAGTATTAACATTTTTATGATATTCTTATGATAATTTTGCAACTATCACACTCCTGGAGAGGAAGAAAGCACCTCAGTGTGAATCTCAATTCTGTGGGAGAATTCCCACCTTCCACTCACCCCCCAAACACATATACACACACAGCCTGCAGAGGACAGAAGCCACACAGAGGGAAGTTCATGCACACTGCTCAATGCACAGCCGCCTGGACCAGGCGACTGGAGGGTAGAGTGGAGATGGGGGAGCTCACAGGCCCAGGGGGACTGACCGCAATCCTGCAGCAGCCACAACCCCTTAGCCTAAGCAGTAATTCAGAGCCGGGGAGCTGTTATGCCTTCCCCAAAGGCACCCCGTGTGCACCCAGAACCAACAGGTGAGCAATCAAAACAAAGCCAGTGCCCAGCAAGTGGTAACAGGAAGACAGAACACACAGAGAATGGTGCCCAAGGCCTCCCAGGTAGAGAAGGAATGTTCCATTCCTCAGCCCTAAAGTGTCTTTCCCACCTTTTTTCCTTTGAATGTATGTGTAGAGGGGTATCTAAGACATGCACATGAAAGAAAATTCAAGATATAAAAGGGTCATGGAGTGAAACATAAGTTTCCTTTCTAACCCTAACCTCCAGCCCCTTCCCAGAAGTAACCATTTTTACCAATTTCTGTGAATTCTTCCAAAGATATCCTTATACACACACCACACATATACACTCATAAACACACACATTCTTATTTTTAGTAACACCAACAGTGGCATACCACACACTGTTCTGCACCTCTATTTTTGTATCACTTAATGATAGATACATCCTGGAGATTGTTCCACACCAGCGCACAGGGTTGCCTCACCCTCTGAATGCATGTAGGATAATGGACTCAGCTAGTCCCCTACTGGTTTCTCGGTTGTTCCACTCTTTTCTATTAAATCAGGGGTGCAGTGAGTATCCTGGCACACATGTCATTCTACAAATATATATATGCAAATCTGTCCAGAGCCTAAACAATGACAAATGGCATCACTTCCCATCTTGATGGATTGGGCCTCGCTGAGCTCCACAGATGCTCTGACAATCACTTTCCTGCTCTTCCCCACAGCTCCAAAACGGTCCACTACCAAACTTTTTGAATTTTATTCACCAAAGGTGAAAAACAGTATCTCACCACAGTTTAAATTTGCATTGCTCTTATGAGTGAGGCTGAACAACTTTTCACGTGTTAAGGAGTACTCTGTGTTTCCTCTTCTGTAGTTAATGTCCTCTACCCACTTTCTATTGAGCTGGAGAAGGTAGATTTTAAGGCCACAGAAAATGAGGCTGAAGACAGGCTGTAGTTCTCTAGTCCAAGCCAATCTGAGGCCCCCCTGGGATTACTCGGGGGGAGAGGGGTATGGGATCTAAGAGTGGCTGTGTCAGGACACAGGAGAGTCAGCCCACCAAAGCTTCCCAATGGCTCATTGCGTTCACTGGTGCTGCCCATGAACTTGGCCTGAGAGGTCTACCTTATATCTGACCATAGCTAGTCTTGCTTTTTTTTCTTTTTTTAAACTTTTCTTTAACATTGATTCTGACATAGTCCCTTCCGTCTCTAAATTCTTGTGAATCTAAGGTTCAACACGCTACTTTCTCATGACCAAAAGTGGACAAGTTTCCTGATTTACATGAAAACATGCTCAGCTCCTGCCTCTTACCTGGAGTTCCTTTGGGTCTGAGTGTGCCCAGAATGGGGCCATGGTGCACTTGATCTTCCCCTCAGGGTCCATTTCAATGTCCCACCAGGAAAGAACCACCTGAGCTCGGCCAGACGCCAGAGGTTCAAACTGCCTGATATGGCAGGCTGCTGAACTACTGACTTGCTTGCTGAAGTCCACACTGTGGAAGAATATTTAGGAACTTAAGCATATTTTAAGCTCACACACTCCATTTTTAAGCTTTTATGGTGACCTCACCAGCTTGTTTGCAAAGGACCCTTCAAAGGCAGGTGACATCAGCCAGGTTTCCTTCCCACTCAAAAAGAACTTCCAAAGACCTCAATTCCACCAAAGGTCTCAAGGCACTGTCACCCTGGGTGGCTCCCTGGTACCTGAACATAGGCAGCACGTTGCTGAGGACAGTGAAGTCAGTGGGTGACACCTGGTTCAGTTGAATGTCATAAACAGAGGGTGCCCCAGGGCACTGCTCCACTTCCGATGGGGGGACGATGACCTGCTCTCCATGGCTGGTCTGAACGCGGATGGGAAACAGCTTGTTCCATGACCACATCCTTCTGGACTCTACCAGCTGTGCATAGATGGTTGCTCTATGAGGCACTGCCTCACAATTTTCCTAAGTTTATATTAAAAAGAAAAAAAAAGAACAAAAAAATAAACCAGGTACATGGACCCACAGTAATGTCCATTGATCAAAATATTCCTTAATATTAGGCCTGTTTAGTAATATCTAACGCCTTACCACTATTAGGATAGTGAACTGTTTTGAGCCTAATGCCCTTGGGAAAGAAAAAAAAGGAACTAGATTTCAAAAAGAATACATGTTATGCCTAAAATGATTTATGTCAGATAAGTTCCTAGCTACCTGACACTCTTAAATACTTCAAAAATAAACCTTAATTGTCATCATGCTGATTAACTCCCACACTGACTTTGAAGAAAGAGTCCAAGTCTTCCTGCTAAGCAGTAATTCTGGCATTGGGCTCAGAATTTCCCTTCAGTGCACCTCTGGCCCAGACACCAGAACCTTCTTATTGCACAGCCCAATGGACAAGGGGCCACCCTCAACTGCCCTACTTCCTGGCCTCACTAGGCACTTTCAACCACTCTCCTCACTTGGCTTTGGCCCTCATCCAATTTCCCCCCATCTCATTCATTCATCCAATATCCTCTAGGTGCCAGGTACTAGGGACCCAGCCATGATGAGGACATTCACAGCTGCCACCACATGGAAATGACAAACAGGGTTTCTCGACCTCAACACCAGTGACCTCTTGGGCCAGATGATCCTTTGTTGTGGCAGCTGTTCTGGCATTGTAGGATGTTTGGAAACATCCTTGGTCTCTACCCACAAGATGACAGTAGCACCCCTGTCTCAGTTGTGACACCAAAAATGTCTCTGGATACAGCTTTGGATGAGAAGCTCTGCTCTGCCCCTCTGTCTCCTTCACGAGGCTGTGCTTCCCTGCCCATCCTTCACTGAGGGGACTCCCCAAACACCCGATCTGGACCACTTTTTTCTCCCTCCACACACTCTCCCTTGAGTGACCTCAACCACTCCATCTTCATTTACCAAACACCATCCATCCAAAGGCCTCTCGGTCCTTTCTACTTGGCTGACCCTCAGATAGCTCAAACTCTCTCAGACCAAACTGAACAATCACCTTCACCTCTCCCCCGCCTGCCCGGATCTGGTCCTCCTCTCATACTCCCATTCAACAGGGAGTGCCACCAGCCAATCCAGTCGCCTAAGCCCCAACCCCTGGCATTATCCTCAATGCCTCCACATCTAAGTAATCACCCAGCCCATGACCACCCTCACCCTCCCCAAGTCTACCTTCTTCAGGCCCATTTCTATGGCCTTGACTGAGGCCACCTCGGCCCAGCGTCTGGACGACTCCAAACACCTGCTAACCAGTCTTCCTGCCTCCCAACTGCTCTCTTGCACCCCAACTGCTCTCTACATGCCTGCCTGTGATGTCACTTCTCTGCTTACAAACCTTTCTGTGATGCCATACTACCTTCTAGAGCACAGTGGCCTTTCTCAGTCTAGCCCTGCCCAACCCTCCAGCCTTATCTGTAACCTTACCTCTCACACTACCCATAATCCCAACAATCTGCAGGGGCTGGGAGACACTGCACCAATTCATCTTTATGCCCTCATCTCCTACCTGACCCATGACCTCTTCTGCCAGTCTCCTAAACCAAATGTCAGTGGTGCTTCTGTCTGGCTCTCCATTTGGCCCATCCAGTCCTTGTCACTGACTAGTGTGGGTCTCAAAAGCAAGAAGGATGTCTCATACTTCTCCCTGGATGCTAGAACACCTTACACATAGGTGACATTCACAGAGTGTTTGCTGAATTGAACTGAATTTGAAGATATTTTCTTGCCTTTCGTCTCTAACCTACCAAGACTTGGCATTCAAGAGGCACAGAAGTCGTAACTGAGGAGAAGCAGAATCCCACAGGAATCGAGGGGTGTCCCAGGGTGACTGGAGAGGAACTAAGGGCTGAGGCTGTGTAGAGCATGGTGTATCAATTAGAGCTGTGTGAGCCAGCTGAGATCACAGCAATATAGCCGAGGGAGGCCCCTGGTCCCCACCTGCACGAGATGCCTGTGTGCGTGCTCATAGGAAGGCAGTGCTCCCTCCCCAATCAGTTCTGTGTCAAACAACTCTGTGATCAGAATGTTAGCACGGCATGGCATGTCACCATCTGAAAAACACAAGGAAACAAAGTCAGAAGCAAGCAACAGATTAGAAAAAATATTTACAGCAATATGCAAAAGATAAAAGGTTAATAGGTCATTAAATTGAAAGCATATACATATGCTTAAGTATTTACAAGTGCCATCATATCTGCAACTCACTTTCCAATGGTTCAGCAAAAAAATTCATTTTGATATACATATATACATGAAAACGCTAACAATTGGTAAGTCTTGCTTAAACGAAGAGGGGTGTTCACTGTACTCCTCATTCAAATTTTCTGTATGTTTAATATTACAAGGGACTTATAAAACTGATAAGAAAACTATAAACACCCAAAAAGAAAACTAGGCAACACCAAAATAGACAATTCAAAGCAGAAAAAAAATTAATCAAATATACGGAAAATTTTTCAATCTTATTAGTAATTAGAGAGATATAAGTTAACAATTAAATTAGCAAAAACTATTTGAAAAGCAAAAACTGAATACTGGTACTTCAAATATTTCTAGGCAGCAAAGAGGGAAAAAAACAAAAGCAAGAGAGACAGGCTGTCTGATTCCACTGAGACCCAATGATACCACGGAGATCCAGGACTCAGAATCCCAGTTCCTTACACTAAATCCCCCTTAATTAAGTTAGCTGCTTGCTACCAAACAATCCCCCAAATAACAGGTGTTTTAGGATAGAAAGATTATGGAGGGTCTTCTTGTTAATTCTATTTTCTAAATCTTTGTAATGTAATGTAATGTTACTTCTACAATTGTAATTTTTAATGAGCCAAGAGATAAAACTGACTTTGGAAGGGGCTATTCATCATGGAGAATTAACTGTAAACACTCCTAATGGCTCATGAATTACAATTTGACAAAGCCCACTCATCTTCCCTATACAGAAGACAAGGAACACAGATGATGCAAGAAAAGAGAAGCATTAAGGAGGTTCAAAGAAAGGTGCAGTAGAGAGAGCTTGAACCTAGAGTCATAGAGACCTGGGCCTGGATCCCACTTTCTAGCTTTGAATCAGTTCTGACCATCACCCACCTCATCTGTAAGACAGGGGTAATGAGATCTGCTCCATGCAGTGGTGGTTAGGACAGCCCACTTCCGATGAAGTACACTTGTGCTCAGTGGCAGCACACCATGAAACGACGCTGAGAAGAAACTTTTATCTCCTGGCACTGAGACCACCCTCCCAAGTGGCAATGCCCATCCTCTCTGATATCATGCCAAACTCCAACTGAAATACACTGTCCCAAACTGAGCCAACCACACCTCATCCACACACACCTGCTTCTCCCTCTGATGTTTCTGCCTCAGTGAACGGCACCACCAGTCACACAGTCCTGAAACCTGATCACCATTTACTAGTTCCAGGAGAGCAGGCACCCTGACTGGTCTGCTCACCATTATACCCCAGTGCCCAGAACAAGGCCTAGCACCCACTAACAGTCAGCAAACATTAGGTGAATTCTTGATTCCTCCTTCTCTGTCAGCCTACATCCAGCCAATCACCAAGCACTGCCAATTCTACCTCCTGAATAATTTTTAAGCCAATTATTTAACTTAAAATGATTTATTGTTCAAATCTGCTTCAAATAAACAAAGCTTTATGATCCAGTGAATTTCAACAAATACTCTTAAGAGCCTGGTATCTAACATGTGAGTGCTAAGTAGAAGGGAGCAGAGGGTGCAGCAGGAGTCTGAGCAGGGGCAGTTACCCCTGGTGCCTCTTCAGTCTTCACCAAATGACTGGATGGATGAACAAAGGCTGCTCCCTGAGTCAGCTGCTGCACATGCCTCAGTGTGCAATCCACCTCTGGGGAACAGAAAGCAAACTTAGCTGCCATTTTTAAAAAGAGCTGAGAAAAGAATCTTGGAAATATGCATCTGAGAGCAAAAAGAAAGCTGCAAAGGAGAACCAAGACTGGAAGATGTCAATCAGGCCTGGCAAGAGAGAGCTTCCAGGAGGATCGAATGGCAAAAGTACCAAAGCTATACTGTTTGAGAGGAAAAGCAAGGGAAGACCATCAGCCTTAGCAATGAGGAAGCCACTTGTCAGGCTGGGGAGTGGAAACCAAGTCCCATTTACAAGGGGTTAAGGATCAAGTTGACAACCTGCTCACTAAACAAATATTATTGAATTCTTTTATATGCCAGGCCCTTTGCAAGTTATGGAATGGAATAGCTAATAAAACCACACAGTCCATGACCTCGGGATGCTTCAGCTATGGGTGGATAGAGATATTAAACACATAATTACACAATTATTTAATTATTGCAGTGATAAGCACTACCAAGGCAAAGTAGGAAGAAAGCATATGAGGGGCCTGGCCTAATGCACACAGCCTGGAGGAGAACACAGGGCAAAGAGTCACAGAGAGAGTGACAGAGCAAAGGCTGCTCTACAGGTCATCTCTGTGCTGTCAAGATCTCCTCCTCTGGCCTAAATGGAGTAACTAGGTCAAACTTATCCACCCAGTGTAATCAACTAGAAAATCAGACAAAATATATGAATCAAATGTTTTCAGGCCAGCCCAGCGGTGCAGCGGTTAAGTGCGCACCTTCCGCGTCAGCCCAGGATTCCGCCAGTTTGGATCCAGGGTGTGAACATGGCACCGCTTGGTAAGCCATGCTGTGGTAGGCGTCCCACATATAAAAAGTAGAGGAAGACGGGCACGGATGTTAGCTCAGGGGCAGTGTTCCTCAGCAAAAAGAGGAGGATTGGCAGCAGATGTTAGCTCAGGGCTAATCTGCCTCAAAAAAAAAGAAGTGTTTTCAGATGTTGAATAAGAGGCAACACAGTTTGTTCCCCAAGAAGGAGAACAAACAAAGTGACCCCTACTACTGCTCTGGCTTTCGGCCAGCAGGCACTTTCCAGATCACAGTACAGGGACGAAGAAGTCAAACAGGATATGGCAGTCCTGCTGAGGTGAGGAGACAGCAGCCAGAGATCAGAGGAGCGGAGGCAGCTAGGACTTGCAGGGGAGAGAACGAGAGAGGAAGTTACACAGGAAAAGGGCTTCGGAAATCTGTACAGGGCTCCCCTTAAGTCTCTTGTTGGATATATTCACACACACAAAGGGTAAGACACTAGAAGGCCAGGCAAAGATTGACCATGTAACTACAAAGTGAACAATTTCCAGAGCTCAAAGAAGACTGGGAAACATTCTAGGATCATTCTAGAAGCTGGGATCAGCCAGCACCCAGGCACTTAGCAGAGACCCCAGAAAGGTCATGCTGTACTAGTATGGCTAAAGTAGCCTTAGAGCAGTGGTTCTCAACAGGGAGCGACCTTGCCCCCACCCCAAGCCCACATTTAACAATGTCTAGAGATATTTTTGGTTGGCACAAATGGTGGGGAGGAGGAAGGTGCTACTTCTTCTACTGGTTAGAGGCCAGGGGTAAACATCCTACAATGCACAGAGCAGCTCCTGCCAACAGAGAATTATCAGTGTCAATAGTGCCACTACTGAGAAACCTTGACTTAAAGCTCCTCTATACCTGCTCCAAAGCTTAAAAACAAGCCCTGAAAGGGTCAAGTTGATCTGCAAGTAACCCAACTGCATGCAAGACAAAGCCTTTTTTTTTGGAGGAAGATTAGCCCTGAGCCAACATCCACCACCAATCCTCCTCCTTTTGCTGAGGAGATTGGCCCTGAGCTAACATCTGTGCCCATCTTCCTTCACTTTATATATGAGACATCTGCCACAGCATGGCTTGATAAGTGATGCGTAAGTCTGCACCCGGGATCCAAACTGGTGAACCCTGGGCCACTGAAGTGGAGCGCGTGAACTTAACTGCTATGCCACTGGGCCAGCCCCAAGACAAAGCTTTTTAAACTTTTTTTTTATTTTTAATTTTTTTTAATTTTTCCCAAGACAAAGCTTTTAAAGAAAGACAACAAAATCCAGCACTCAGCAATGCAAAATTCCCAATCTACACAGCATCCAAAGAAAAATTACTAGACATGTGAAGAAGGAAAATGTGATCCAGAACCAGGATAAAAATAAGTCAAGAGAACAAACCCAGAAAAGACACAGACAGTGGAAATAGAAGATAAGGATGTTAAACCAGTGAATATAAATATGTTAAGTACTTAAAGGAACACACGAACACAATGGGGAGAAAAATGGAACTTATACAGATGAAAAATACATAAAAGAAATGAAAAGTTCACTAGTGTGCTTGCCAGTAGATTAGACACTGAAAGAAATGATCAGGGAACCTGTACACCTATCCAAGAAACCATCCATGTCCATCAACAGGTGAAGGGATAAATAAATCATGGGAAATACACACGAGTGCTGCTCAGCAATGGAAGATGATAAACTCTTGACAAACAGAACAACATAGATGAATCTCAAAAGCATCATGCTACGTATGGCAAAGAAAGCAGGCATAAAAGAGCATAGACTGTATGATCCTGCTTACTCAAAATTCTAGAAAAGGCAAATCTAATCTATATATGTATACACACACACACTTTATTTATTTATTTACTTATTGCTGTGGAAGATTTACCCTGAGCTAACATCTGTTGCAAATCTTGTTCTTTTTGTACACGAGCCACTGCAACAAGGCCACTGACAGACAAGTGGTGTAGGTCCACACCTGGTAACCAAACCCGGGCTGCTGAAGCAAAGTATGCTGAACTTAACCACTAGGCCATCAGAGCTGTCCTTTAATCTATACTGAAGAAAGCAGATCACTAGGTGCCTAGGGCCAGTGATATGGGGGGACTGACTGTAAAGGGTCATGAAGAATTTCTGTGGGCATGATAGCAATATTCTATTATCTTGATTGTGGTAGCAGTTATGATTGCACTTACATTTGTCAAAACTCATGAAACTATACACTTCTATTGGGTGCATTTATTTTACGTAAATTATATCTCAATGTTGATTAAAAATGGGATAATCATTTGTGCACTTTTTTTGCATGTATGTTATGTTTTAAAAATATATAAAGGGGGAGCCGGCCAGGGCGGAGTGGTTAAGTTCAACTGCTCTGCTTTGGTGGCCCAGGGTTCATAGGTTTAGAACCTGGGCACAGACCTACACACCACTCTCAAGCCATGCTGTGGTGGCATCCCACATACGAAACAGAGGAAGACTGGCACAGATGTTAGCTCAGCAATAATCTTCCTCAAGCAAAAAGAGGAAGATTAGCAATAGATATTAGCTCATGGCCAATCTTCCTCACTCAAAAATAAATAAATAAATAAATGGAACATTAACCCCTTTTGTGCATGTTTCAGATTCTCCATAAAAAAAAATTTTTTTTTTAAAAGGGAGAAAAATGTTGACTTTAGGTAGATGCTTTATTCGAAAATACTGCATTGGGGCCAGCCCGGTGGCACAGCGGTTAAGTGCACACTTTCTGCTTTGCTGGCCCAGGGTTCGCTGGTTTGGATCCCAGGTGCGGACAAGGTACTGCTTGGCAAGCCATGCTGTGGTAAGTGTCCCACGTATAAAGTAGAGGAAGATGGGCATGTATGTTAGCTCAGCGCCAGTCTTCCTCAGCAAAAAGAGGAGGATTGGCAGTGGATATTAGCTCAGGGCTAATCTTCCTCAAAAAAAAATAAATAAATAAAATAAAATACTGTATTTTTTAAAACTGTGATGATATCCGTAATCTCACCCCAGAAGCTTCTTTTACAGATCTTTCCACTGTGCTCTCCACTGTGTATCAGTGGCATGTGAAATTTTAGAAGAATGATTCAAACTCCTAGACTATAAAACATATTCTGGAAACCTGGAGAGACTGTGCCATACAGGCAAATCTCTCATGCTGGATGCTGAAGCAGGCTGTCAGAACTAAGCAAACCTCTTTCTGCTATCTACTTAGTTTCACTTCTGTCTGATAAAACTTGAAACTCTAAGAGCTAAGCCACACAAGAATTCCAACTTGCTTAAAGCAAAAGGAGGTTTTGTTTGTGTCACCATTGTTGCTCTTCATTAGTTCTGGTTTACTACTGCTGATTTGTTTTAGCTTGTAGACAAGCAAAGTGCCTATCTTCCGACCACCACATGGAGAGGCCCCGTTTCTTTGTGATTACCTGGATACATTTATTCGAGGTAATTAGAATAAACCTTTTCCATTTCTCCTACAAAAGAAAGTAAAGCTTTTGACACAGGATGTGTTGATCTTACCCGGGCCTACGGTCACCTCAGTGGAATGCTTGTTGATAACCTTAATCTTATCACTGAAGCCATTTTTCTCCACAATCTTCACAGCAGCATCAGCCATAGGCTTGAAAACCTGGAAATTAGAGCAAAAACCCAAATAAAAATGAGCAACAAATTAAATAACATCCTACCACCCAAGATTAGCAAGACATGCCTTAATTCTGGTCCTAAGATTTGAACAAAAAGAGGCTTCCACTACAGAATTTCCTCCTGAATATACAAAATGCACCTTTGTATATGTACCAAAAAATACAAAATACTTCTTTGGGCTGATTTGATCTAAATAAACAAGATCTATGTAACTTAAATACTTTATTCTTCAAATGTGTGTCATGAAAATGAATACAAAGGGATGAGATTCCTAACTTGCAGCTAGGCGTTTCCATTACAGTGGGGATGCAGGGGGTACCAAGGAGGTTGTACTTCCTAGTTAGGACGGCAGGTGTCAGTGTCATGCCAGAGGGAGCCAGGAAGAGGACTTGCCTCACAAAACCATTATCTGTGATCTGGAAAGTGAGAGTGTTACCATATTAGACATTAAGTGTGAGCAGGTCACCCTCTTGCTCAAAACTGTCCCAAATCCCCAATGCTGGCAGAACACAGCCTATATTTTCCTATGGTATTTGAGGCCTCCATAACATGGACCACCTTACTTCCCCCAGCCTTACTCCCCTCCCACAATGATGCTCCAGCCACAGTGATCTCCTCATTGTGCACCAGGCAACCCTAGGCCTTCCCTGCCCTACCCCCAACCTGCCAAAGCAAACCCAACTTTCCAGGGCAGCACAAATCCTCCCCACTCCAGAAGCCTTCCCTGAACTCTTCACATGTCCCTAGATAAGCCTTCCACTCTTACTTTCCCGCCTGTCCAATTTAGAGTGCACAGCTCCAAACACATTAGAGCATAAAACATACAGACACACATGAGGCCACACAGAGTGGAAATACAACAAAATGATAAAGTAACTGGTCACAATGACAAGATTTCCATTTTTTCTAAGTCCTTTTCTGCATTTTCCGTATTTTCTACCATGAACACACATTTCTTTTATTATAATCAAGGGAGAAATGCTATATTCTTCTGCAGAGTATATGTGCTCACCTAGAAAAAAAAATCTTCACAATTTGTTTCAAATTATTTCCAGTATCTGGATTCACGTGTTTAGATGTAGTTTGAGGGCCTCAAACCCTCAGTTCTCACCAGTCACTTTGCCTCCACCCAAAAAGAATCACAAGCTCATACCATCCCCTCGGCCCTCCTGCCTCTTGACAGCTCTCATCTCCTCTGCTGACCCTTCAGGCTCTGACCTTCACAGCCTCCTCTCCATCCAGCAAGAACTCAAGATCTCACCCAAAACATATCTGAAATGGACCCTGAAGCTGATCCCAACATCATTTGTGTCCTCCCTCGCCCCTCAAATCAATTTGGGGAACTGACCTTTCGAGTGGTGCACCTGTCTGGTCTAAGGGTAACTGAATCTCGCTTGCCAGGTCGATGAGGTAAATTAAATGGGATTTAACCTTATTCTGACCAACGATATCCAAGGAGAGGTTTGCTAGAGACTCCTGGGTAAGTTCTTCTTGTTCTTAAAAAGGAGGAAGGAGGTGAGGAAGCCAGGACCACGCTTTGTTTTCAAGGCATTTCTGTAGAAATCACTGCAACCATTACACCTTCCTCAAATACTCCTTCCTTTTCTTTTTTTTTTTTTTTTTTTTTTTGAGGAAGATTAGCCCTGAGCTAACTGCTGCCAATCCTCCTCTTTTTGCTGAGGAAGACTGGCCCTGAGCTAACATCCATGCCCATCTTCCTCTACTTTATATGTGGGACGCCTACCACAGCATGGCTTGCCACGTGGTGCCATGACCACACCCACGATCTGAACCGGCGAACCCGGGGCCACTGAAGCCAAACATGCACGCTTAACTGCTGCGCCACCAGGCCAGCCCCTACTTCTTCCTTTTCAAGTGGACTAAAAGAGAAGTGTACAGTCAGTGTCTGAAATTTCTTTTTTTTTTTTTTAAGATTGGCACCTGAGCTAACAACTGTTGCCAATCTTTTTTTTTTTTCCCTGCTTTTTCTCCCCAAATCCCCCCAGTACATAGTTGCATATTTTAGTTGTGGGTCCTTCTAGTTGTAGCATGTGGTACACCACCTCAGCATGGCCTGATGAGCAGTATCATGTCCACGCCCAGGATTCGAACCAGCGAAACCCTGGGCCGCTGAAGCGGAGCATGTAAACTTAACCACTCAGCCACGGGGTCGGCTCCTGAAATTTCTTATATTCCATCCACTCCTCAACCCTACTCTCTCCTGAAACATCACCTGAAGGAGGTCGCCTAGCTGCCAACCCAACAGCTTTCTCTTAGTTCTCGTCTTGCTCAACTTCTACACCTGTGCTAATACAGTGGCCACACATAGCTATATCTAAATTGATTAAAGTTGAATAAAATAAAACCTTCAGTCCCTCAGTCATACTCGTCACATTTCAAGCGCTCGATGGCCACATGCAGCTAGGGAACATCCTAGTGGCCAGCACAGCTGTAGAAGATGTTCATCATCACAGAAAGTTCTATTGGACAGTGCTGCTCCATAACATCCACACCTGTTGACCGCTCCCTCTTTCCCACTATTTCCATGTAATCGGCCCCCACTTGGCTTCCACCTCTGCCCTCTAGTGTCTCTTTATGTTTGTCTGAACTTGACTTTACTGGCCACTCTTCTCTCAGCTCCCTAACGCAGGCATGTTCCAAGGTTTGCTCTTCTCACTCTACTCTCTCTCCTTGGACAATTTCCTACACGGCCAGCTTCACCTGCTACATCTTTAGCAAGTGAGTTTCAAATCCACTTGTATTTGCGACTCTCTAAGGGTTCGGACTTCTATTTCTAGGAGCCAGCACGTTCTATCTCACTCATTCTTCTGGACCTGTCTTTCTTGTTGCCACACAGCTCAAGCAGAGCTGAAAACCATAAAAGCAGTCCACAGACAGGCTAGAGATTCAAATAGGTGGTCACTGAAGCAAAAATGATGCCACCATAAGCTGTCAAGAGCTAAATGGAGGTCGTGTCAGAGTCATAGACCAGAGCAGCAAGAGAGAATTAAACATCTAGGTAAGTAAGATGGGAATACAGAAAAACCTAATAGCACGGTCCTCCCAATTGCATCAAAAATAAGATGTTCTCACCCTATATTTTTAATTATGGTCCACACACACACTGGCCCATGCTCCAGAACATGCCTCTCCCAAACTTAACACATCCAACATGAAACGCATTATCTTTCCCACAAAGGAAGTGTCTTCCTCTGACACTTACCAGTCAATGGCCTTGCTGTCCCCTCAGAAACCCTCCACAGAAAATTAACTCTCTCTCACTCACACTCACTCTCTCTCTCACACACACACTGTGGGACTCAAGTCTTTAAAAACCTCCCTGGGTCTTAATTTCTTCATTTGTAAAGTAAGGATAATAAAATATACTTCAGGCTATCAAGGCAACCATCCTAAAACACAGATTTCTTTGCATCTGCTCAAAAACCTTGATAACTCTCTAAAGGCAAAGAAATGGCTCTTAATCCTTTTTATAAAATCATGAGACAAGTGTACAGAGTCACATACACACACATACATACACACAGACATATATACCACTCTCAGGATTTTCATGGAGATCTGAAGCCCATTAGTCTTATTTCGGGTTAAAAAAATCTAACTCAAAAATTAATTAGAGTTAGCAGCTAGCCCCGTGGCGTAGTGTTAAGTTTGGCATGCTCTGCTTCAGTGGCTGGGGTTCGTGGATTCAGATCCTGGGCATGGACCTACACCACACGTCAGCCATGATGTGCAGTGATCCACATACAAAATAGAGGAAGACTGGCACGGATGTTAACCCAGGCTAACCTTCCTCAAGCAAAATGAAAGGAAGATTGGCAACAGATGTTAGCTCAGAGTGACTCTTTCTCAGAAAAAAAAAAATTAGAGTTAAAAGTCTTTACTGTGGCACTCAGGTCCTCCACAGCCTAGCTACAATCTACCTTTCTGGGTTTTTCTACCAGGACACCCTTTGCCACAATTGTGGATGACACTGTTCCCCAAATACACCACAATATTCCCTCAACCTAAAATGCCCACCATTCCAAATCCTACGCACTGTAGGGATGGCGGGGTGGGGCGCTGCAAGGAGTGTGGGTAGCACACCCTGGCATGCTGACCTCCAGACTTCATGTGAGACAGCAAACAACTTCTACCCTGTGTAAGCCACTGTTATTTTGGGACTCTGTTATTTGCAACTCAATCACCATTTGAACCAAACTTTGTAGGGTTAAGTGTTTAAATACATGTCTCCCTCGCCAAACACTTGGAAGAATATGCACCAAAATTTTAAGAATGGTTAACTTTGGGTTAACACACTATTTTTATTTTACACTTACAAAATTTCCTATAATTATATGTATTATTTACATTATCAGAAAAATAACATTTAATGTTTTATTAAAAGAAAAAAATGACACTGTCAAACTATTGGTAAATGTAACAAGATAGCTGGCTCTGCAGGGACATTTAAGGTGGCGGATCTCAACCATGCTGGACATTCCCATATCCCAATGCCCAGGCCACATCCCAGAGTAATTAAACCAATATGGGGGGGCCTGGGTATCAGTATTTCTTAAAGCTCCTCAGTGATTCTGACATGCAGCCAAAGCTGAGAACCACTCTCTTCAGAGGAGAAAACAAGCTCCTGCAGGAAAGAACTGTGTGTGACTCAGCTGTATATCCTCACAACACAGTCCTGTGCTTGGTACGGAGTGAGACTCTAAGAATGTCTGTGAACAAACCGATAGGCAAAGTGCAAGGGACATAGGGGACTTCCCACACAAGATGCAGGACACGCACCTGAAGAGTGTGCCTCACCTCAATGGCATAGCAGAAGTCGGCACCTGCTGTGACTGCCATCATCGACAAGAGTCCTGTGCCGGTGCCAATGTCGAGAACCAAGGCCTTCTGTCCTCTGTCCTTCACCCTGCTCACAGCAGCCTGGATACCCTGGTAATATTTCATATTCTAAGAGAAAGGGAGAAATAGCTGTCATTTCATATCAGTTACGATAAAAAGTAGAAAGGCACTTGGTGCGGTTCTAGAGTCACGGTCAGCAGCAGCCTCTCTGGCCCCTCGAAGAACAGCAGTGGCTGGCTGAGTCAGGCAGGCCTTATGAGACTCCAAGAGCACTGAATCAGCCTCCTGTCCTCTTTTAAGCAACTGTCTCTCCCCTCCACACCCATTCTTCTATACTTGGCCTAGAGATGCTGGGACTGGAGCTCCGCAAACCACACTCTCCTTTTTTCTAGCTGTTAGGTACAGACAATGGGGAAGCCAGAGGGCGACTGGAAGGTAAGAGGAGTGAGAAAGCTTGTTCCTTCCTGCATGGCTACTGCTCTCATCAGTGTCCTCCCATGAGCAGCAGCTAGTTCGGGACCCCAGCTTCTCCCACCACTCCCCTAACCAGCCCCTGGCCCCTCAGAAGTAGCACAGCACTTGAGCAGCGATCCCCCTCAGAGAGCTAAGCACCAGCTCCAAAGAGCCTTTCCTCCACACTTCTAGGTCCTGGAAACCCCATCTTCTCCCTTTGTTTCCTCAGCCCTGGGCAAGGTAACTGCTTCCTGTAGTTACTACCACTGGGTTACCTCGGTGCTTCCATTTGCTGCCCAGTCCTCCCACACCTGTGTAACCAACTCCCTCTGCTGACATATGGAATGTGGCTTTTGGTCTCCTTACTGGACGCCACGTCATACAATCCTTGTCTAAAATATATTTTACCCCTCAGGAAATAATTTCTTTGTATTGTGAAGGTTTTTGGTTCAGGTCTTGAGTAACTCAAACGGATACAGCTTCCATCTGTAACGGTTTGGCTGAATAAGTGCCTCGATCCTCTGCTGAAAATAACTAAAAGTCATAGAAACAACATTTATAAATCTTTTTAAATGAACTTATGACCTGGCAAGTTAGTAAGGAATACTAAGAAGCCATATACCTGAAAATGGATCCACTCTAGTTGAGCCTTAAGTTGACTACCCTACCAGCTGACACCCTTTTTTTTTTTTTTTGAGAAAGATTAGCCCTGAGCTAACATCTGCCACCAATCCTCCTCTTTTTGCTGAGCAAGACTGGCCCTCAGCTAACATCCATGCCCATCTTCCTCTATTTTATATGTGGGACGCCTGCCACAGCATGGCCTGACAAGCGGTGCCATGTCCACACCCAGGCTCCAAACCGACGAACCCTGGGCTGCCGAAGCAGAACGTGCGAACTTAACTGCCGCACCACCGGGCTGGACCCCAGCTGACACCTTGATCACAACGTGTGGGAGACCCAGAGCCAGGGGATCCAGCTAAGCTGAGCCCAGATTTCTGACCCACAGAAACTCTGACATATTAAATGTTTTAAGCCATTAAATTTTTGGATAATCTATTTTGCAACAGAAGATAAGTAATACAGGACTGGTATCAAAAGGACAATATTCTCTGACCACAGTGCAATCAAGTTAGAAATCTTTCTTTTTTTTTTTTTTTTTGAGGAAGATTAGCACTGAGCTAACATCTGCCACCAACCCTCCACTTTTTTTTTTGCTGAGGAAGATTGGCCCTGATCTAACATTCATGCCCATCTTACTCTACTTTATATGTGGGACACCTGCCACAGCATGGCTTGATAAGCCATGTGTAGGTCCGCACCCAGAATCCAAACCAGCGAACCCCGGGCCACCAAAGCGGAATGTGCAAACTTAACCACTGCACCACCAGGCTGGCCCCCAAGTTAGAAATCTTAATAACAAAAATATAACTTAAAAAAAAAAAAGATTTTTGAACATTAAGAAATTCTAAACTCACAGGTAAAAGACTAAATCAAAGGGGAATTAGAAAATATTTAGAACTGAATAAATTTTTTTTTTAATTATCTATCAGGGGCCAGCCCTGTGGCCGAGTGGTTAAGTTCACACGTTCTGCTTTGGTGGCCCAGGGTTCTGCCAGTTCGAATCCTTGCCACAGAGAGGGCACTGTTCACCAAGCCATGCTGAGGCAGCATCCCATATGCCACAACTGGAAGGACCCACAAATAAGAAAATACACAACTATGTACTGGGGGCCTTTGGGGAGAAAAATAAACATTAAAAAAAAATCTAAAATTATATATCAGGGCCAGCCCTGGCGGCCTAGTGGTTAAGTTCAGCACACTCTGCTTCGGTGGCCTGGGTTCAGTTTCTGAGCACAGACCTACACCAGTCATCAGTGGCTACGCTGTGGCAGTGACTCACATACAAAACGAAAAAAGAGGAAGACTGGCAACAGATGTTAGCCCAGGGCAAATCTTACTCAGCAAAAAAACAAATAAATAAAACAAAATGTTGGGGCCGGCCCTACGGCCGAGTGGTTAAGTCTGCAAGCTCCACTTCAGTGGCCCAGTGTTTCTCCAGTTTGAATCCTGGGTGTGGACATGGCACTGCTCATCAGGCCATGCTGAGGCAGCGTCCCACATGCCACAACTAGAAGGACCCACAACTAAAAATGCACAACTATGTACTGGGGGGCTTTGGGGAGAAAAAGGAAAAATAAAATCTTTAAAAAATAAAATAAAATGCTGTATCAAAACTCATGGAATGGCTAAAGCCATATTTGGAGAGAAATGTATTAGAAAAGACAAAAGATGAGGTAAGTATCCGCCTCAAAAAATTAGAAAGAGAACTGCAATGTAAATTCCAAATAAGTGGACAAAAATAATAAAGAACTAAAATTAATGAATTAGGAAACACTTAAAACAGAGAAGATCGACAAGGATAAAAGTCACTTATTTCAAAAGACTAATAAAATCAACCTGTGGTAAGACTAGTCTAAAAAAAAGGTAGAGGGAGAGAAAGAAGTACAAGTAACAGTGGGGATGAAGGAGATAAAAGGGGCAGGGTATCAGTATGTGTACTACAGATATCAGAGAGATTCAAGGATTTTATGAACTTTTAGGAAATAAATTTTAAAAATTCAGACTAAGAAGATAACATTGTATTGTAGGTTCTAACCAACACACTAGAGCAAGAAAAGATGCAATAAGGTCTAGAAAGAAAGAAAATTGTTATTATTCACAGATGAGATGAATGTCTCTAAAAAAAACGTGAAACACCTGCAGAGAATTATTAGAACAACAGAACTTAGAAAGATTACAGGATTCCAAATCAATCAATAAATACCAAGTGAAATTTTACACATCAGCAACAGCCTTTAAAACTTTGGCAAAGGAAAGGATTTCTAAAACGAGACAAAAAGCACCAACCAATAAAGGAAATATAAGATAAATTGGACATTAAATTTAAGAACTTGGGTTTATCAGATGAAAAAACAACCCATAAGCTAAGAGAGATCACCTGCAATACATACAACTGACAAATGACTGATATCCAGAATATATAAAAAATTGCTATAAATCACTAAAAGTTATAAAAGAGGAAACAAATGACAACAGCTCATACTCAGCAGCAATCAGGGAAATGCAAATTGAGACTAGTTTAAACCTACCAGATTGTCAAAAATTCAAAAATTGGTTAATATCAAATACTGGCGAAGATGTGGACCAAGAACTATCATACACAGGTGATAAGAATGTAAACTGGCACGAACAGTTTGGAAAAGAATTTGGCATTATCTGTAGAGCTGAACACACCTAATGGCCAGCAATTCCATTCCTAAATATACACAGCCTATAGAAAAGTGTGCATATGCATCAGAGTTCAGGTACTGGAATGTTCCAACAGCACTACTTACAAAAGCAAAAAGCTAGAAACAACCCCAAAGTCTATCAAGAGAAGAATGGGTAAGTAATGATATACTTACACAATGGAATCCACAGAGCAGTGAAAATAAATGAACTGTAATAACTACACGCAAATGGATGAATCTCAAGAACAATGCTGAGGAAAAAGGCAAGTCGCAAAGAATAAACACAGTAAGATGCCATTATATAAAGTTCAAAAACAAGCAAAACTAAGAATTTACTTTTTAAGGATACATAGTAGGTGGTAAAACTATAAAGAAAAGCAAGGGAGTGATTGATACAAAATTCAAGACAGTGGAACTTCTGGGGGAAGCAAAGGAATGCAATCAGGAGCACACACGGGAATTTTGAGTAACAGTAACGTTGTATTTCCTAAGCTGAGTGGTGTGTCTACGAGCATTTCCTTTATTATTATTCTTTAAACTGTACATATACATTCTAGACTCCTTTGCGTTATATGTCACAAGAAAAAGTTTTTTAGGGGCCAGCCCGGTAGCTCAGCAGTTAAGCGTGCATGTTCTGCTTTGGCGGCCCGGGGTTCACCAGTTCAGATCCCGGGTGCAGACATGGCACCGCATGGCATGCCATGCCGTGGCAGGCACCCCACATAGAAAGTAGAGGAAGATGGGCACGGATGTTAGCTCAGGGCCAGTCTTCCTCAGCAAAAAGAGGAGGATTGGCAGCAGTTAGCTCAGGGTTAATCTTCCTCAAAAGCCAAATGTGCTTTACAAAATACAGTCTGCAGTGACTTCTAGAGATTTTATTCTAAAATTACAAACTGACAACAGAAGGTGAAATATCATGTAATTAGAGAAGTTTTACCTAGAGGAGATCATGGACATTAGCTAGTATATCCCACTCATTTTAAATCCTAATAAACGAGGTCTGCAGAGGTCCCATGTTTTCTCCAAAGTCACACTCAGGTCGAAAGCAGAGCCAGAGGAAGGACTCAATCTCCCAACTGATTTCCCAGTCACTAGCCATACTGCCCCTCCACATCATTCTAGCATCACACCTCCAGTGGGAGTTTTTAACCTTCTTGCAGTGGAAGGTTTCAAAACACATCAAGATAATGGTTTCATTTTCTTTTTTTTTTTAAACATAACCCATTTATCCACTCCACCGCTGATGCCCAGTGAGTTGTTTCCAATTTGAGGATATGCCAAAAGATGCTGCTCTGAACATCTTGTGCAAGTCTGCTGGCAAACATATGAACACATCTCTGTTGGGGATGTACCTAAGAGTGGCATTGTTGGGTCCTAGAGTATGCATATGTCTATCTATAGGAGATACCACCATGAGTTTCAAAGTCGATTAAACAGTTTACCCTCACAGCCATGTATGAGAGTTCTAGTTGCTCCATATCCTCATCAACACTGGCTGTTGTCATGGTTTTTGATTTTGACCGATAATGGTTTCCTTTTATACTTACTCTGTCTTTGTCATGCAGCATATCAGCATAGGATGATCTAAAAAAATCCAAAAAGACAGGTCAGAAACCTCTGCCAATAATGATATATACATCAACATATGAGTATTCACATATATAAATGCATTTCTAAATCAGATGGAAGAAACATCCAGGCCCATTTTAAACTATTTTAATAGAGTTATAAACTGTCATTCTCTAGTACTGCAGAAAACATCTCAGAGACACGTTTATTTCAGCAAAGAACCTCAGACCTAAAAATGCTCAGGTAGTTAGCCCTGTCACAGTAATTCCACGGCACTAGCAAACTGATCATGTTACACATCACATATACAGCTTCAGGTCAACATCAAAATCCCTGGAGAGCTTATTTTAAATGCAGATTCCCAGGATACACAGAAAGAGACTCTGATGCAGAAGGTCAGGCTGGAGTCTGGAAATCTGTACTCGAACTGATGCTCCAGGCAACTGTGACACAGGCATTCTATACTCCACACTTTGAGGAGCACTGCACTAAAAGAATAGGGTTCTTTTATGGCATACCAAGGTTTTTACATCTGAACTCACCTATGAATGTTTAGTTGAAATCTGACCCTTTCTACCTTTCTCCACTTTTTAAGAGGCATTTTCACTCCCCATCTTCTCTGCCTCATCACCCACTCTCCCTGCCACTCCACTGACATCACTCCTCATAAGCACCACCAGCTCACTCCCACTGCTAACATAAAGGATTTCTCTGATGCTGCTGGACACTCCCTCTTCCTGAAATGCTCTCCTCTTTTCTACTCTCTGGCCATTCCTTCCTGGTTCTTCTGCCTCTACAGCCATTCCAGGATTCCTTCTTCAGCCATTCACCTTTCTCATTCCACACCCTCTCTGAGAGCCTACCACCTCTCCCAGTTTCAACTCTCACTACCAACTGCAAATCTCCAGATTCCCATTCTTCTGCCCATTGGTATCTCTATCTGGATGTCCAAACCCCAATACCTAATCTCCACCACCTTTCCCTCCCAAACTACACCCACTGCTCCTGTGTTCTCCATCTCAGGAAACAACAGGTCCATCTACCTACTCACTCTAACCAGAAATCTTGGTGCTTCTTGAATTTTCTCTCTCCTTCCATCACTGCATCCAATGAGTTACTAAACTCAAGCTCCCTCAAAACTGTCTCCTCCTCTCCCCACCTCTAATGCCTCGGCTTTGAGGTTGCAATATCCACCCAAAGGGTCTCTGATCCCTCCCACCCACTTTCCACACTGCTCTCAGTGAGTGTTTCAAAATGCAACCTAATCTTTTTTCTCCCGTTTAACATCTCAATCACTCAGAAAATCATGTCCAAAATCTTTAGAAAGTACTATTTTTGAGACCTTATATTTCATTCAATCATCAAACAACCCTAAAATAAGGGTCTGATGTAATGAGATGTATACTACTATACTGAGGCTCAGAGGAGTTAATAGCTTGCCCAACGTCACAGAGTTAAGAAGTGGCAGAGCCCAGGCTCCTACTCATGTTCCTCTTCCTGCATTCTGCTACCACCATTCGCAACAACCCCTCTTCAGTATCCTCTCTCACCACAGCACTACTTTTGTACCACACTCCAGCTACACTGAACTGCTAACCACTTCCCAAACTGGCCCATCAGGAAGTTTACGTGTAATCCCTGATGCTCAGAAAGCAATTTCCCTCCTTTTAGATTTGGGAAATCTGCGTCATACTTTTTTATATGTCTGTCTCTTCCACAAAACTGCACGTTGCTTGAGGATGGGAACCCTATCTTCTTCATTTTGGTATTCACAGCCCTCGCATAGTGCTGGCATGTCATATGCACTTAATGATTGCTAAATAACAGTAATTCACTCACATACTTTTCAACATCCCTTCCAAGAAAAAAATGCATTTTTCACTTTTTCCATTCAACAGAATTTAACCATATGATGAATGTGTCACCATTTCAGCGACACAAGTAAATGATTAAATTACTACTACTGAACTGTGGGTCCTCTTTGCTCCACTAGACAGATCCTCTGGTAAGGCTGCTATACAACGTCTGACTTGCCACACAGGCATGACTTTGCTTAAGTCCCAGACAAACCTACCTGGTTAAGCAGACCTGCTTGTGACCATCACCTGTCCTGATCAGAAGCATTAGGTAACAGCCTATTCCACACCCAGATTGTGCCGGGAGCCGTGGCTACATCATTTTATTGGCTGTTTGACAGGGTCCAGCCGATTAACGCCGAGGGGTGCAGGGTCGCCCCTTGGTGAAGAATAACCAGCCGGCCCCTCACATAGTTCTGAAACCTGTGCCTCTTCTAATTTGCCCTTCATTCCTTTTCCTTTCTTAACATCTAGTTTTCACTCCTTTGGGTGGCTGCTTGGGAGGCACTACCTCCCGGGAAAATTAGATATAGTAAGAGAATGTGACCACCTGCAGGTAACTTTCAAGATATTTTTCAGTTAATTAATGGAGGAGCACAGTCCCTTTTGAGACAAGCAGAAAGGAATCCTGCCCAGATAAGATGTCGAATTAGGTTTATGGCCTCCATCTGGTTAATGCTTCCTTCTTCCTCCAGTTCTTTGTCTAAATATATATATGCATCGTCCTTCTAAGTTTGCTGGTTAATTGGATGATCAAGAAGTATCTGTATATTATTCTTGACCTTCTGCTTTCTGTTAAAATGTTACAGAGGTTTTCTCCTAAAAGCAATAAATAATAAATAATTGATGAGTAGAAGGGCCGAGGGGTGCAGGGATGCCCCTTGGTGAAGTATGGCCGACCAACACCCCTTATATTTTCTGAATTATATGCATGCTTTCTATCAAGGTTATGTCTATACTTATTTCTGTTTTTTACTCTTGAAGATATATAGTTTAGCTTAGCTTTTCAGCCCTTTACTTAACAAAATGATACTTTCTCCAGCAGTGTGCTTAAGGGACTGATAGCTCTACAATCTAAAAGACAAAGGAATGCTTTCACCTCCTAAAGGGCGCAAAAATGTAAAGATGTTTAACTGCCCGCTGAGAATGCAGATAGCCCTGGGGATAAGATACCCTGGAGTTGCCTTTTGTTCCCATTAACCATCTACACTAATGGCGTAAATGATTGAGGGAGGCAGGGATGGCTCCACCAGGATGTAACCAGACGGACTGCTGTCCTGTCTGGAGGCCTGAACCTTCTCTCTTTGACTTAACTTTACCATGAATTACAACAGATGCCTAGGTACCTATCTCTTTTAGCTTAAAGACAACAAACACTAGTTAATTGCGGAGAAGACTACCATTAACCTTATGCTCTATAGAATAGAATGCTAATAAATATTCTTGTGCTCGTTTTTTACTTCCTTATCTCTCTGAGAATATTTGTAGAGCTATTTCTGTACTAATCCTGAAAAATATAAAAACGACACTTGTGCACAGTAAAGTTGGACTTGCTAACACCAACCCAAGTCTCACGTCCTCTTTATTTTCCCCTCATTGTGCCGACGCCGTCCATCCCTCAGGAACCTGGACTCAGCTGGGGCGGGACTCCGGCAAGATTGGTTTCCAAGGCATTTGCTTTGACATCAAGTGCCCCACCCAACTGCAGCCAACTGTGAACAAACCCTTGTTACCTTGCAATCTCCTGGTGGTAATCATAGTGCTCATCCTCCTCCAGCCACTCCACGGATCCCGTGGTCGGATTGGCCCGCCCACAGAAAATCCTCATGGTGTCAATCAGCTCCTTAGTTTTAGTATAGGAAAGCAACCTTGTCAGCTCACGTCTTGTGGACAGGTCTGATCATCAAAAATCTATTCACATCATAATGCCCAAGAATATAGAGAAAACGATTTTTAAAAGATAAGAAAACAAATGAAAAAAGAAATCAAGAAATGGATAAAAATGTCAAAGCCACTGAAAATATTTGTTAATCGATATTTTAATCTTTCCAGCAAGAGTTATTTGGTTTTACATTCCACATATAACATCAAAAACTGTAATACATCGTGTGTGATGATGGATTATAATTAGCTTTTGGGTGGTGAACACGATGTAATCTACACAGAATTCGAAACATATTACAATGTACACCTGAAAGTTATATAACGTTATAATCCAATGTTACTGCAATAAAAAAACTAATACATAAATTTATAAAGCTATTTGGAAAGTTCAGCAGTCCACAGTGATTCCAACAGGGCCCCAAGAGCCTCACAGGTGCATCTGGGTACAGCCTCAGGCAAAGGCAGATAAGAAGGAAATAAAGCCAGGAAAGGACTAGTGAGGAAAAGAGAATAAAGAGATGGGGATGGTGGTAAAGGACTGCCACCAATACTGCCTCAGGATATTAAAAACCTAATTTAAGGAGAAATACAAAGATAGGGCAATTCAAAGAAACTAGGAAAATCTTCATCTAAACAAGTCCGTCATTGCTATAGGCAAATGTGGATAATCTCAGGAATATAATGTTGAGCCGAAAAATAAGCAAATCACAGAATACATATGATTACATTTATATAAAATTTAAAATCAGAACAATATATTTTTCAGGGATCACATTAAAAAGCATAGCAGGCAATGAGGAGAGTGGTTACCTCTAAGAGGGAATGGGAAAGAATAGGATCAAGGAGGGCCGCACAGGACACTTGTTCTTTTTCCAAAGCTGGGTGGTGGGAATACAAGTGTTCATGACATTGCCATTCTTTATGCCCCACTATTTTTTATAATGACTATTTATTATCTACTCAATATTTAATTTTAAAAGGAATTTTAAAAAACCCTTCTTCGTCTAAAAAAAATTTGCTTCAAATAAATAAAACGTCACCAGATTCATGTTTTGTGTGGCCTGTTTCCCCAAAGAGATCTATTTTGGAGAGATAGAGAAACACCACAGCTCAAAGTGTGAAGGTACTTCTCAGCAGGTATGAGCTCTCCCAATGCCATCCCTCTTACCATTCAGAAAAAAGTAAGCGTCCCACAGTCCTCCTCATTTCTTGTTAAACACTAACCTATCTTCAGGAAACCTTAGAAAGAAGGCCTACTCTACAGGTCCCTACACATTCCTAAGGCATTTTAATGGCCAGAGTTATTGACTTTCTTTTGAAATTATCTAGACTAAGTAAACACTGAATTTTATACAAGAGGATGGGAAACAATTTTTTCTGAAATGACTCTGGCAGTCACCAGCACAGTTCAAAGTAGTCAATTTGTTCTTCAGTAAAACTCTACTAAAATCCCAGCATATCTATCCTGTAATCTAGTGACTCTCAAACTTTCTGACAACTCCAGCAAGAAATATACTTTACGGGGCTGGCCCAGTGGTGTCGTCGTTAAGTTCACGCGCTCTGCTTTGGCAGCCCGGGTTCACAGGTTCAGATCCTGGAAGTAGACCTAGCACCACTTATCAAGCCACACTGTGGTGGCATCCCACATAAAAAATACAGGAAAGGGGGCTGCCCTCGTGGCCGATTGGTTAAGTCCTCATGCTCTGCTTCAGTGGCCCAGGGTTTCCCTGGTTCGGATCCTGGGAGCGGACACGGCACCACTCATCGAGCCATGCTGAGGTGGTATCCCACATGCCATAACTAGAAGGACCCACAACTAAAAAAATATATACAACTATGTACTGAGGGGCTTTGGGGAGAAAAAGGAAAAACAAAAAACAAAAAATAAAAAAAAATACAGGAAGATAGGCACAGATGTTAGCTCAGGGCCAATCTTCCTCACAAGAAAAGAAATACACTTGACACTGAGATGCAATACATGCACATGTACACGCACATCTAACTTAAAGTTTCAGAAAACAATATTTAGCCTTCCTGTGGGCAGGCTCTCTGAAATATTCTATCCTATTTCATTTTTATTTTTTAACTGCTGACCATGATCCACTAAATTGATTTCACAACTCACCAATGGGTTGCAATCTAGTTTGAAAAGCATTGCTAGAACCAGCTCTGTACATCTGATATGCCAATATTTCTTTTAAAAAGACAGAGTATCTAGAACTACTAGAATCTGTAAAGTGCTTTAGAAAACTGTCCAACAAATGCTGTAACAGAAAGAAATGACCACATCTAGCTGTATGTCAGAGAAGGCTTAAAAGATGGGTAGGATTTTGGTGGGCATGGGGAGAAAGAGGGCACTTCATCAGATTAGAAAGGCTCAGTCATGCACAGTAAATAAATCACTTGAGTTGAAGTGAAACTGAACAAGGAGTCAAAAATGGTGGGGTCCATATTGTGGAAAGTTCTGAAACCCTTATCCTGTGTTCTATGTAGAATCAATTCTAAAGTCATTTAAAGGTTAAGAGGTAGTAAGAACTTTAATCTGTGGAATTCCCTTTTCCCTGTGATGTTGCTGAGCCTATAAGGAGGACCACAGTGCATTTACAGAACCGTGGAGAAGTCACTGGTTTTACATAAACCTAAATAAATGCTTGAGGACCAGAACCACATCCTGTAATCTCTCTGGGTGAGCACTACACATCTTCTCTGGATAAATACCCTCATCTATTATCATGATTTGTCCTCTCCCAAGAGGAGCCCGCATTCCAGATTCAGGAGATACTCTGACCCACTCCTCATTTTCGAAGAGCTACAAACACATGTGGTTACTTACAAGGAAAGAATGGAAACCACCATGCCAACAAGCTCTAATTGCATTACTAGTCAGATTCCAGAACAGATGTTTGGTTCATTCATTTCAAAATTTACTAAGTACCTTCTATAAGTCAGGCACTATGTTAGGGACTGGAGGACTATCATAAATAAGATAGAAGAGTTCCTTGTCCTCCAAAAGATTACTCTAACGGTGGAGAGAGACTAAATATAAACAATTACAGACTATGTGAGCACAAGAAAGGGAATACTACACCCGGTGCCATGAAAGAGAATAACAAGATTATAGAGACACTCTCTGAGGAAGGTGGCATTTAAGTTGAGACCAGCAAGATAAGCCAAGTTAAAAGTTGGGAAAGAGTAGTGCTTACATTTCAGGAATCCTTACCCCAGGTTTTCCAAGAAAAGGCCCTAAGATGGGGAAGAACTAGGTGCATAGGCAAAAACTGACAAGAACCTGACTGATGGAAGCACTTTGAGGAGAAGAAACAATAAAAGATTAAGGGTGGGCCTCTGCAAGTCACACTGGGCCATGTCAGCTTCGGAAAGGTGTTTGGATTTTGTTCTAGACACTCAAGGGTTTTAAGTAGAAGAATATCCATGTCCAGTGTATCCTTTTACAGAGCCACTCTAGCTAGCGTGTGGTGAAGACTGGTTTCCAACTACTCAGACACAGAGACCGGGAAAGGCGAGCCCATCAGCAGTTCCCTGAATCAGAGAACAGTGGCCCAGTTAGAGAAGTGATGGTTGGAGCTCCCTATGATTGCGGTTCTTGGTCTCTGTTGCAGAGGAGAGGCGCCAGGTACTACGATCAAGGCCCCACAGAGGAGCTCAGCCCCGGGTTCAGTAAGCGGCAATCACCCGACAGAACGCCAGAGCCGGGGCCCGCCTAGAACTACGCTCTCACGCCCGCCCAGGCACTCCAATCCGTCCCACGCGGATTCTAGAACGGTCCCTGAGAATCCCGAAGAGATGTGTACCCCGGGGTCCGAGTACGCCCACGCAAGAGCTCTGGAGCTGAGGACAGGATGCTGGCTGCACCCGGGGCTCCAACCGCGACCCCACCTTCCCAACCCACCCAGCGTCTCACCCTCCACTGGAACCTCTCCGTTTACTTCCGCCGCCACCGCCGTCCTGCTGCGGCCAGCGTCCGAGGGCGGGACTCCCAACACGCGCTGAGCGTGCCGGGGGCAGGGCCCGGAAGCGGAATTTGAAGGCTCTCCCGTCGCACCCCACGACTTCCCATAGTGCTCCGCGACAGCCGCTATGGAGGCCGGCAGGACAGCTGTGCTTCGCGTGAAGCGGAAGCGCAGTGCGGAGCCCGCCGAGGCTCTTGTCCTCGCCTGTAAACGCCTCCGGAGCGGCGCACTCGAGTCGGCGGCCCAAAAGACGCCCCCGGAAGGTCTACAGAGAGCGGCAGAAAAGAATGTCTTCCAGTTGGTGGCCACCGTGCGCTCCCAGGTATTGGGAGGGGATGGAGCCGCCGTGAAGGGGGATCTCGGGGCCCATCCGGACTGACAGTGTATCCCTCATCCCTTCACGAACCCCTGCTTACGCTGGTTCTCCTCCCCTACTGCCCCCCAGGAGGAGCCAGTCAAGCCGCTCGTGCGGGCCGCCCTGCGCCCGTCCCAGGGCAGCCAGCAGCGTGTCCGCCGCGACCTCCGCGCATCGGCTCGGGAGATCCGTCGGGAGGGCCGCTACAGGGTGGTCTCTAGCCGCCGATCCTCGGGGATTCCCTTGGGTGGCCTAGAGTCCGAGGACGCGCCAGGAAACCCAGAAGCCGCCGAGGACGCAGGCTTTCAGCTGTTGGACCTGGTCCACGAGGAAGGAGACCTAGAGGCCGCCGCCGCGGACTCCTGCAAAGTGAGTACACACGCGGAGGCAAACGCTGGGCTTTGGACCGATAGTGCCAAGAGTCTGGGCGCTCAGTCAACACACAGTTAAGGGGATGCAACCGGCTTCACCTTATTGATGGATGAGTCAATGGATGATCCGGTGCAATAGCCTCGTTTTACAGGTTAGGTTACGTATTCAATAAGTACGTACTGAGCGCCCACTATATTGTCCTTAGGTTCTGTGGCTATAGCAGTGAGGAACTAACAATCAGGTAGAGTAAACAGTGAACAAGTAAATTCAGTGTCAGATGGTGATATAGACTGTCGGGGGAAAAAAAGGAAATGAGTGGTTCCATTTCAGAGACGGTCTCGCTGAGAAAATGACGTTTGAGTGAAGACCTGAAGGAGGTGAATGGCAGGGCATTGTGGATATCTTGGGGAGAGGCATTCCAGGCTGAGTACCTGCAAGTGGGAATGCCCTGAAGTTGAGTTTGGTGTTTTCAAGATCATTGTGCCTGGAGCCCAGTGAGCTGGGGGAGAATAGTAAGGAATTTAGGGGGAAGATGCCTGTTAGATCCTGTAGGTACTTCTAAGGAAATGTTGCCTTCCATCCTGAGATGGGAAGTAACTGGAGGGTTTTGAGCAAAGTAAAGATAGAGCAGATGGGAAAACTCATCAAAGGGAAGTTAAAGGACTAGTCCTGGCTAACATATCAAATTCAAGGCAGATTTAGGTCTACAATGCAAATCTTCTCATGTTTAATCCAGTGTTCTTTCCACTACATTACAGTTAACTAAATTTGCTTTGTATCTCACTTCTGAAAAACAAAGTCTACGTGCAGTAAGACTATAGAAATAGAAAATTCTCAGCCCATGGTATGCTCCCTCTTGATAAACATTAAAGAAAAAGTTCATTCCTTCTACTAGTTTTTGAAGATTAAAAAGTAAAAATTTTGGGGCTGGCCCCGTGGCCGAGTGGTTAAGTTCACACCCTCCACTTTGGACAGCCCAGGGTTTCACCGGTTCGAATCCTGGGCACGGACATGGCACCCTTCATGGAGCCATGCTGAGGCGGCATCCCACGTGCCACAACTAGAGGAACACACAGCTAAAGGTACACAACTATGTACCGGGGGGCTTTGGGGAGGAAAAGAAAAAATTAAATATCTTTAAAAAAAAAAAAGTAAAAATTTTAATCCAAAATATATCAAGTAAAAAAATATTTAATCATGGTGCTAGTATACCTGGATAGCAATTTGGGCATGATGTCTATAGCCACATCTTTTACCAAAACTAATTCCAGACTGATTGATGAGTTACAAATCAAATAATTTTTAAAAGTAAACCGATGTTCAGTGGAATTGAGTCAATTAAATAGCTCATTCAATTTTGTAAGAAAAACTAGTAGATAAACTGATGAAAGATGTGAACACAGATTTTTTCCACCACCACAATACAAAATGTATACACATCCAAAACGTTTGCACAGAGTAATTATTTTTTTAAAAAACATGAATTTAGGTTGAAAGCAAACTTCAGGTTTATATGCATACTAGACTAGCAGGGGAAAGGTTGTTGATAGCACTACTGGCAAGGATGTGATCAAAATGTACACAATTGTAGTGCTTAAAATTGATGGAAACGTTTTAGAAACAGCATGGCTTTACATATGTGGAATCCTAAAAATAGCTTGTGGCCTATTTTAAAACAATTTAAATTTATTTTCATTGTTCAGACTCTAAAGCCATCTGAAAATCTGAAGAAATTTAAAAATTAGTGACAGCATCTCTATGCCATAATTACAATGGTTTTCTCCTTAAATTGATGCCATGTGACTTTCAAACAAATGAAGTACTACTTAATAGGAAATCTTAAAAAGTGAAAAGGTTCATGGGGCTGGCCCCATGGCCGAGTGGTTAAGTTCGCGCACTCCGCTACAGGCGGCCCAGTGTTTCGTTGGTTCGGGTCCTGGGCGTGGACATGGCACTGCTCATCAAACCACGCTGAGGCAGAGTCCCACATGCCACAACTGGAAGGACCCACAGCAAAGAATATACAACTATGTACCGGGGCGCTTTGGGGAGAAAAAGGAAAAAATTAAAAAAACTTAAAAAAAAAAAAATAGTGAAAAGGTTCAGTTCATTTTATCTAGTAATCTCCTCCCCAGGATTTATCCTAGGGAAATAATTCAAGAGAAGCAAACAGCTATGATAGTAATAAAAGCTGTTGGTTTAGTAAGTAACTACTATGCATCAAGTACTGTGCTAAGACTTGTTATATTCTCTTAATTTAACTCACTTAATCCTTACAAAAACCCTATGAGGTAAGTACTTTTATCCTCATTTTTCAAATGCAAGAAACTACACATTCATTGCAATGTTGTATATAGAGACAAAAAATTAGATCTGTGAACTTGACATACACGACTGCCGGGACTATTAAATTTTTAGATAACCATGAAGACTGGCAAGATGGGAAAGTACTTATATGTGTTTAACAGTAGAAAATGTTATATGTAGTATAGTTGAAAATATGGGTAAACATACACATAGACTAGACTTAAAAATAATTTTTCTTTCATGAAAATAATATATGTTCATTATCAGAGATATGAAAAAATATGGAAAAGTAAAAAGTAAAGAAGGGAAAGTACCCATTTTATCCCTATTACAAAGGTAAATGGAGTAAAATTGGTTTGTTGTCTTCTGAATAAAAAATTCTGTCTGGCATTTTTCTGTTTGCTAGTCTTTGTACATATTTCAATGGCTGCATAATTTGCTGGACTAAGGTCTGGGGACGTGTGAGTTAGAGCCAGAACTTTCCTTGTAAACAGCCTTGAGGTTGGTCAAGGGTCTGCACAAAAACTGACGTCTCTAGTTCCTTTTGAGTTCAGAGCAAAGAATTAATTCCCTTTAGCCTGTAAGTGATAGAGAGCATTGGTCTGCCCTTGTCTGCCTTGGCCATGGGATGCCCCTAGTATGGTATCTGGTTTGAGCTGCAGAGCCTCCTGTGATGAAGCTGTAGAGAGGGGTCATTTGCAGCATGTCCCCCTGGTTTCCAAATTGGCCTGTGCTACCCTGGATAACACAGCCTGTTAGCACTGGAGTACATCTTAACCTAGGTCAGTTCTGTTTGAGGGCAGTCCATCTTGAGCTGTTCTTTCTAGCAGGAAGAAGATTATAGGGGAGTCTACTCCTATTTGTGACTAAAAGCAAGATGTCAGTGTGGGCAAGCTAAGAAGTGGGTGATGGCTTGGGAGTCAGCCATAGAGGTACTGCTCTGGGCTTGCAGATCCCCAAGGGGAGAACATCATACCAGAGGAGCTCAGAGAAGACAAGGGGGCAAGACTAGCCAGCTCTGCTGGCCTCCCCTCTCCTCAGGCCAGTCTTCACTTGTGCTTTCTTGTGACAGCCAAGCACAAAAGAGCAGGAGGCTATCTTGTAAGTTTCTATCTCACAAGAAGTACTACACATTAATTTTTTAGAGATATTTGATTTTTAAAATTTCATAGCTAATTACAAAGAGATTAGTAGGCCATAGGGATAAGAATCTTAAATCCAACATAGAGAATTGTAAGGGGGCTTCCTTTACCCAGCTGTTAGGTTCTTCCTCTTGGAACAGCCGTGTTTTAGGTCAAACATGTATCATGTTTTCTTTACAGACATCTGATCCAGATGTGATCCTCTGCAATTCTGTAGAGTTGATTCGTGAGCGGTTGACCATATCTGAAGATGGACCAGGAGTCGGGCACCAGGAGGAACAGAAGGACGACTATGTGTATGACATTTACTACTTGGAAATGGCCACTCCAGGATGGATTGAGAACATCCTCTCTGTGCAGCCCTACAGCCAAGAGTGGGAGCTGGTAAGGGAATCCATGAGGGTGAGAAGTATGAGGCAGCTTAAGCAATTCTCTAGTCAGGGTGCTTTGCCTCTCTGGTTTCCAATCTTTTTTCTTTTTTTTAGGAAGATTAGCCCTGAGCTAACATCTCCTGCCAATCCTCCTCTTTTTGCTGAGGAAGACTGGCCCTGAGCTTACAGCCGTGCCCATCTTCCTCTACTTTATACGTGGGACACCTACCACAGCATGGCTTGCCAAGCGGTGCCACATCCGCACCCGGGATCTGAACCAGTGAACCCCGGGCCGCCGAAGCGGAATGTGTGCACTTAGCCGCTGCACCACTGGGCCGGCCCCTGGTTTCCAATCTTGATCAACATTGTTCTTATCCTTGCTTAAAAGGAAAAATTTATTCTAAATGCCTTCTAGGAACCTGGGTTTAGTGCAAGGAGTTTTGGGGAAAGACCATCTATATTGATAATTTTTGCTCTTAATGAATCTTCTACAAAGTTTGCAACATCATCTTTATTGTTTATACCTACCCACTCTCAGGGGAAAAGGTATAGGGGCTTATAATAAAATAGACAAAACCAGAAATTCTAACATGAATGAGAACAAAAGCTTTTGCCTTTTTTTTTCTTCTTTTGGTGAGGAAGATTGGCCATGAGCAAACATCCTTTGTCAATCTTCTTTTTGCTTGAGGAAGATTTGCCCTGAGCTAACATCTATGCCAGTCTTCCTCTATTTTGTATGTGGATTGCTGCCACAGCATGGCTTGATGATATAGGTCGGTGCCCAGGATCTGAACCCACGAACCTGGGGTGCCAAAGTGGAACATGCTGAACTTAACCACTACACCCCTGGGCTGGCCCCGCTTTTTTTAAGTTATATCTTAAAAGGGGGAAAACGGTGGGTTAAGAAAGCTAACATTCTGACATCATCATCATTAAATTCTAAAACGATTAATGAGAAAGGTTAAGGTGGTACTTGCCATACTTTTATTATGAAAGGAACGCCTTATCCCACACCTGCACAAAGTTTCACAGTTAGGCACCCACCTTGGATTATTGCATAGCTTGCTTTCCTGTACCCCTCACACTTACATTTTGGTTCTGACCTTTGGTATCACCCATAATCTCTATAATCCCTCTCCCACCTGGCTGCCCTTTGGGAGTTTGAAGATCACTGCCATCACCTGCTCAAAGCTGTCTCCCCTCCCCACCCTGGTGCATTCCCTTCTGGTGGAATTCAGTCTGTCCCACCAGGAATGTGGTGTCTGGAGCTGGACTCTGAATGGAATAGGGCTGCTGTCTCCTTCTTGTAGCCTAAGGTTGCTACAGTCTTTTGTAGACAGAGTCAGACTAACATGACCCTTAAATGATAGCTCCAAGTTAGTCTGCTAATAGCTTCTGCCAGAGCATAATCTTAGAGGTTTTGACTTATACTCATGTTTGTGTTGAGATGTGCAGGTGAATGATGACCAACAACCAGAGGACATTTATGAAGATGAAGATGACGAGAACAGTGAGAATAACTGGCGCAATGAGTACCCAGAGGAGGAGGAGGAGGAGGAGAACAGTGATGGAGATGAAGAGTCCAGAGGTAGGTGGGTGGCAGCTCTGAATGGGGAGGGACTGGTGAGACCCAACACTGAGGTATGAGTACAGTTGACAGGTACATCTTAACTGGCTTTCCTTCTCTGCCATTGAACTGCAACAGCTCAACCACAAGCTGTTGGAGCTGTAGGAGACCCAAGGACTAGTGTTTCCAGGGGGGCTGCAGAGGGTGTAATGTCAGTCAGGCCTGGGCTCAAATCCTTAGTTCTGTCATTGCCTAGCTGTGGGTCTTGGGCAAGTCACTTCATCTCACTGAGCTTCATTTTCTCTCCAGAAAATGGGAAAATATTGCAACAGTTTGGAGTGGCTGGGATTAAGTGAAACATCTAGCTCTTCGTCCCTTTCCCTGCCTCAGCAAAAGTATTGGAGAGGTTTGCCAGGAGTAGGCCCAGGGTTTTCACAAATCAGTTATCTAACCTCTTAAGATGCTGCTGCATTTACAACTGTTTGAGAAAGACACAACACAGACATGGCATCTGGGGGGAAGAGGAAGGAAGGATACTCAGGCAACACAGTTCCTTTGGTGATGATGTTCTAAGTGCCAACAAAAAGAATTTCTTGGTGTCTGATAACGGAGGAACATTAAACTATGGAATATTCTGTCGTGATAGTGCCTATAATATGCTAAAAGGAAAGGGGCAAGGTACAAAATTATATTTGCAATATGATATAACTATTATAGCAAAAATATCCTATACTTAAAAATGACAAGATACTTCAATGTTGGTTTAGATAGTAAGAATATGACTTTTAAAAAATTGTTCTAAATTCTCTTTATTGAGCAAGTATTCTATAATGGGAAACAAAGAAAACAGACCTTTTTGAGAAGGGAAGGGGCTTTCTTGGTCACCTAGGAAATCATACAATTAGAGCCCATGCCTGTTATCTCATTCTAGGCTCTGATGAATACAGCAGCCTCAGTGAAGAGGAAAGCGGCAGCAGCAGACCACAGATGTGGCGCAAATACCCTTTGGATGTGCAGAAGGAGTTTGGCTACGACAACCCACATGACCTGGATTCAGACTGATGCTCCTGTGATACCTATGAGGTTCTATTTCAGGCCCCTGAGGGCTCTAAGACTACAGTACCAGCTGCCCTGATAACATCCACTCAGGTTTCCTAGCTTAACATATGGAAGGAAAAAGCATGTCTAACAGCACTATCCTACCAGTGAAAACTGGTGCTAATGGAGTGTGTCTTTTCCACTAACATTAGGGCCCCTTTGCTTCAATCAAAAGTGATCTTACAGTCTGGAAAAAAAAATGTTGTAAAAATGAAGCTTCCTGGCCCGGGCATTTTCCCAATCTCCTACACTGAAGCCAGTAAGTGGAGGAGAGGCTCCTGTTTCATCAGCACTAAGACTCAGCTTTCTGATACCAGCAGGCCACCTGGCTCCAGTAAAAGCCTGTTTCTTTTGATAAAGGGAATCTAGAAGGGCTGTAGTGGGTCCCTTGTAGCAGCACAGACTGGATAGTAATGGCAATTAGGGAAGGAAGTAGAATCTGCCTGAGCTGTGAGAGGTTTTAATTAACAGCTGTCTCTACCTCCCTGCTCCCTGACTCTAATAATGGTTGTAAAGATTGCTGTCTTCCTTTGGCAGTGGTGCCAAGGAACAGAGTATGTATGAATGTAATACTCTGTGTTTAGTAAAAACTAACTTTAAATATGTGAGCAAGTAATTCCTTTGAAACCTTTTAAATCTGAATATCTTAGGTGTTTCCCCGCTGTACTCCCTCTACTCCCTCCACTCCCCCCACGAAAAAGGAGGGTTAATGAGACAGAAGTTTCAGAATTGACCTTAGACACTAAGGACCTAAGGCAAGCACATCCTGAGCTTAGCTTTCCATTAGGAAATGTTTATTCACAGAACTCACCAAAAATAAACTGCTATCAACAGGACCAATTTTGTTAGCAGAACTTGTATCTCTTGTAAGCAAACTCTGTCCCTATTCCTTTCCAAACCTCACATGCCTTAACTCTGACAGAGTTGGTATTGATTCTTTTAATGTAACACTGGCCAATAGAACTTTCTGCAAAGATGAATATGTTCTATATCTGCACTGTGCAGTAGTAGCCACTAGCCACATGTGGCTGATGAGCACTTAAAATGTGATTAGTGCAACTGAGGAACTGAATTTTTAATTTTAACTTAACTAGCTCCGTTTGGCTAGTAGCTCCTGTACTGGACAGTGCAGGTCTAGGGAAACAACACTCAAAGCCTTTGATTCAGGATGTGCCCTCTTGTCCTGTGGCACACTCGCTATCATGTGGGCAGGTGAATTACACAGGGATATGTCTTTCCACCTCTTTTAAGATTTCATAAGCATCTCTACTTTTCCATCCTGTCTCCACCCATTCTTTCACTTTATGTTCATTTTGTAAGTCTTTACCTACATTAGTTCCTATCTACGTGGAGTTAAACCTGCCAAAGTGACTAAATTCTGTGTCTATGTGTACTCAGGCCCTACTATTACAGCTACACCAATAACTGGTTTCCCACCCTTACTATCCACAAAGGTACAATACAGTGTTGCAAGTAACAGGCAGCAACTTACATGTCTAATACTAGTCATCTTAGTCTCCTGTAGGCACAGAAACAAGGATTAAAAACCACTCTGTGCCATTATAATGTGCTCACTGCTGTTTATGTACTCATTAAGGTATGCCAACATTAAAGGGCTGACAACTTGACAAACTGTACTCACTGCAAAAGGGATTAGCGCACTAGGAGAAGGATTGAAGGAGACGAACAACAAAGACCTTGTGGAAATTAATTCCACCATGAAGCCTGAGTGCTGTAGGGAGTCTGTGGCTTCTTTCCCACAGAAGGCTTCCTGGGAGAAGTCTGCATCCAGTATAGAGGGGAAGAACGCCGTCACCATCCAGTAATGACAGGAGGATGACATGGCTCACTAAGCAAGTACTAGGGCACCTGGGGTGTGAGGCCCTTGCTTCCCCAAGAAGCCACTGGAGGGCAGCAAGTTCCTGGGATTTATTGGTCATTTACTTCAGTGGAAAAAGCTAAAGCCTCGGTCAGGGATCCTCAAGATAAGCACACTCTGCTTAAAGGATTAGCTCCAGAGGATCCCTGGGATAGATGCCAGCTTGGCTCAGATAGAAGTCATGTTTACATAGTCTACGCAAGTCAGCCTTTGCACAAGACTCCCTGTTGTCAGGCAGGAATTTGCTGTGCAAATCCCTAACTCATGACAGTAGGAATGTCCCCCCATGTTCTCACAGATGCATGCCCTGAACCAAAAGCAATTATCGTGCTCCCCTAAATTGTCTTTATTGAGCAAGTATGACCAAGGTTACTCCCTTGTCTGTGACTGGGGCCAGTTTGGTTGAAAAGAATGGTCAGAAGGGAAATTGCCTGAGTTCTTGTCTTTATCATTGACCAATCCAAAACCTAAGGACAAGAAGCCCATTGGGCGTGCCAAGCCAGCAGATTCTTCTGGGTCCTGGATGACAGTGTCCAGGGGCATCCCAGGACAGTTGTACAATCCAGTGCAGCCATGCTGCCCATAAAGGAACATCCATTACGCCAAACCTACTGCTCTGGTCTGAGCTGGATGCTAAAGCACAGCCTGAGCACCAGATTAGCTGCTTCCAATCATGCAGTCTGTTGAGGAGCCAGATTGAGGTTGAAGTAGCTGTTTTCCCAGAGTCTTCACTGATCTCCACAGGGAGAAAATAGAAGTCCCCACAAGTACCAAGCTCTTCCTGAGATTGCGGCCCCACCAGACCTCGGGCAAGGGGAGGCAGGCAGGAGAGGAGTGCACTATCCGATGATCCACACCAAGGCGGCTCAGTGTAAACAGCCTGGTGTCAGGGACAGAAGAGGAGGAGGATGCAGCCTGGTGTAAGGTTTTCAGAAAAAGAAAATGACCACTTATAGCACCAAGGTGAGCTCGCGTGGGTCTGCACAGCAGTCCCTCACACCAGCCCTTACAGAGAGGAACAAGCTATTTGGTGGCCTAGGTCCAAGAGGTGTTCTCTAAGCCATGGACAGCTGAAAGACTTCAGGTGATCCACCTGAATTCTACAACAGTTTCTATCCTCTTAAAGTTCATACCAGAAACCTGGAGATTTACTTTCTATCAACTAGAACAAAAACCTAAGGTCTCAAATAAAGGATTATCCTTCAAAATAGCAGTATCACCAGACTTCTGACTCCAATTTGTTCATTTATCCTTGGTGAACTTGAGCCAGATGCTTATAACATGTGACCTATCTATATACTAAAGTATAACCAGTACATGAGTAAAAAATCTTAAAGTTCACCTTTGCAGGTAAGATTCAACAGAAGATTGTGCTAAAACTGAGTAAAATTTGTGGTCAGAGTCTGACCCACCACCACCTCTAAGGGCAGAGGGACTTGGTTTGGGGTACTTTGAATTTTTAAACACAATCAGCCTACTGCATCTTGTAAATAAATGAACATCAATGCTTTGATAGAACTGGTGTTCTGGATTAAATAATATCAGTAAGTAATGGAATACAGCCCTCTCCCCAGGGAAGGATTTTGAGCCAGAGAAATAAATGGTAGCATTCCAGGCCTCTCAAGTCAGGTGCTTGGACCTGGTCAGGGGAAAACATCCCATACAGCAGCCCCTCTGTAGAGACTCCTGGTTCAAACCTCAAATATCAAATTCAGAAACCATCAGCCACAGCTATTAACCTAGCACTTCCCCTCCCCGCAGTGAAACTCACCAACTTAGTGTTTGTAAGGGCTGCATGTATCCACCCAGAACAACCATTCCCCTGCTCCCGGAGCCCTCCCCACCATCACTTTGTGAAGTTCCCCACCTTCAGGCTGCTCCGAGACCCTGAGTCTCCTCCCATAGCTTACCAGTGAGAGTAACTACCTGAGCAGGCCATCAGCCCTCAGCCCCCTTACATAATGTGGGCCAAAAGGCTCCTTTAGTACAAGAGGGTTGGGCCCATACAGTCTTGTCATCTGGACTTTGGTGGCGGTGGCCACAGGTAGCCAACCTTCCAGGCCTCAGGTACATCACCTCTGGCCTCTAGTCAGTTTTTCTCTCAACCTTGTTCTCTTCAGCAACGTCTAGCTCAGTCAGGACACAAAAGCAAAGCTGCTGTGTGACTTTGGTGATAGCAGCTGAATGAAAAGAGAAAAGAACAGGATTTAGCAGACTGACATTTAGCTGCAACCCCAATCTGAACACCACAAGCCTGATTAAAGCATCACATCAGTAGCTCTCTCCCTAAGTGTCCCTTGGGTACCCTGTGCCAAGCTTTGCCCCTCACCCCCAACAAGCCTCACTGTCCTCCAACCCATGCCCAGCCAGCGAGTCTAATGCGTCACTCCTCGTCTTCCCACGTGGATTGCACTTTCAGGAGGTAGTGTTTTAACCCCAAAAAAGGACTCTAAAGTTAGATCTAAAGTGATCATGTCAAGATCAAAAGGGAAGAAGTCATGCTGGGCAGCCAGGTCTCACAGCCTCCAGCACATCACTGGTATGTGGGAAGCTGTTATCCATCACCAGCACCTCTGCACACATCTGTGTACGTACACACACACACACACACACACGGCCAGTGAGTGATGGGCAAAGAAAAGCTCACCCAGGACATTCCGAATAAAGAGTGGCCTCCGGGAGACTGGCAGGTAAACACCCAGGAAGTAGACGGGGACCCCAGAGAGGGCGATCCCGATGCCAATGACAGAATTGATGGTATCACTGAAGAGGGGCACAATCACCAGAAACAAGGAGCATATGCAGAAAACGATGGGAAAAAACAGGCTCAGCTGAAATGGAGGGAGGTGAGAAATCAGGTAAAGTGGGATGGGGGAGCCAGGTATGGGCAAGAAGGCACCTTGGGGAGAGGGCCCACCCCTCCTCGTCAGCCCAGAGTCACTGACCTTGAGAGGCCGGGGCCGCTTGGGCTCCTTCCAGCGAAGATAGAGCTGTCCAGCAATAGACAGGCCCACAAAGAACCAGTAGCTGAAGCTGAAGTAGTTGATGAGCAGGAAAACATCCTCCACAGTGAGGTAGATGAGTGTCATGGTGCACTGGAAGTGGGGGGGGGGGGGGGGGGGGGGGGGGGA